TGTCAATCTCTCTCGGCCTGGGGCTCCATGCAAGATCTCACCTCGTGGAGTTGCAATTATCACGAGAACGGTGAGGAATCAGCCCAGAACTACACGGGAGGATCTTGTCAATGATCTCAAGGCAGCTGGGACTATAGTCACCAAGAAAACAATTGGTAACACACTACGCCGTGAAGGACTGAAATCCTGCAGCGCCCGCAAGGTCCCCCTGCTCAAGAAAGCACATATACAGGCCCGTCTGAAGTTTGCCAATGAACATCTGAATGATGTTGGGTGAAAGTGTTGTGGTCAGATGAGACCAAAATCAAGCTCTTTGGCATCAATTCAACTCGCTGTGTTTGGAGGAGGAATGCTGCCTATGACCCCAAGAACACCATCCCCACCGTCAAACATGGAGGTGGAAACATTATGCTTTGGGGGTGTTTTTCTGCTAAGGGGACAGGACAACTTCACCGCATCAAAGGGACGATGGACAGGGCCATGTACCGTCAAATCTTGGGTGAGAACCTCCTTCCCTCAGCCAGGGCATTGAAAATGGGTTGTGGATGGGTATTCCAGCATGACAATGACCCAAAACACACGGCCAAGGCAACAAAGGAGTGGCTCAAGAAGAAGCACATTAAGGTCCTGGAGTGGCCTAGCCAGTCTCCAGACCTTAATCCCATAGAAAATCTGTGGAGGGAGCTTAAGGTTCGAGTTGCCAAACGTCAGGCTCGAAACCTTAATGACTTGGAGAAGATCTGCAAAGAGGAGTGGGACTAAATCCCTCCTGAGATGTGTGCAAACCTGGTGGCCAAATACAAGAAACGTCTGACCTCTGTGATTGCCAACAAGGGTTTTGCCACCAAGTACTAAATCATGTTTTGCAGAGGGGTCAAATACTTATTTCCCTCATTAAAATGCAAATCAATGTATAACATTTTTTGCCATGCGTTTTTCTGGATTTTTTTGTTGTTATTCTGTCTCTCACTGTTCAAATAAACCTACCATTAAAATTATAGACTGATCATGTCTTTGTCAGTGGGCAAACTTACAAAATCAGCAGGGGATCAAATACTTTTTTCCCTCACTGTACATATTGAAAATATCTTTATTGAAGATTGTTTTTTGAGAGAATTAATTTCTACACACTTTCTACCTGGTATGTTGTTTAAATTCAGACTGAAGTATTTTTTAAAACTTAGACACCCGCAATCCTCTCAAAACCTCAATTTGGGTCACGAGTCAAATGTTTAAAATATGAGTGGATCGGTCCACGGTACCCCTCATCTTTTGTGACAACTGCGACCTCGCCTTCAGTGTCGAACTAAGCATGTAGTTGTGTTGACAGTCATTGATCTACAAGTCATTTTGCATACCCAACAACCCCAGGCACTAGCAATAGCCTAATCAAACTACGCGCTGTGCGCAGCTTTGCACACTGACCAAGTAGAGCTATTCGGTTCGATTTCTGTTTAGATTATAAAAAAAATAATAATAATAACACACACACACACACACACACACAGCTCAGACATATCCAGTTCAGAGAGGCCCAGCTCAGGAGCTCCATCAGCAACAGATATTAATGTGTTTATGCAGCAAATGTTAGTGCATCGAACCGTATCGCATTGAGCCAAATCACATTCGGTTTGTTGATTAATATACAAAGGACCATTTCGAGTCAGTTGGAAAGTTTGCTGTCATAAGCATACGTGTACTTCTCTTGTGGTTTCAGAATAATAATTATAGTCATTCTCACCAGAGATGCACATACTGGAAATGTAGGTCTTTGCCCAGTGTATTTTTAGCATGAATGTCATGTTTTCTGCTAACGTTCTGACTGAATTGCTTCAGTGACTTACCGTTGGTCGATTCGCATGAGATCAGATGTCACTCACCCACTGGTTTTTGTGTGCGTGTGCGTGCGTGTGTGTGTGCATGCGTGTGGAGGGATAACATTGTGCACGTTTCCTGTCCATTTCCTCCACTTAGCTGATCTGGAGTCAGTTTAACGCCATCGTCACAGGGAAGAGGCCTGTCTGGCTCCCTCACACAGCTGATCTGGAGTCAGTTTGACTGTGTGCGGTCTGGGAGCTAAGGTCCATTAGAATGCATAGTGGTACAGGAGAGGGACCGCTGGGGAGGCCCAGCTGAAAGGGGATCTTTGTTTTGCTGTTGAATGGAGTTTTTTTCTCTCTTTTTTTTCTCTCTCTTTTTTGTATGCTGCTTCCCTCAAGTGGGAGCTAGGAGCCCCTCACCTCCAGGTTTGGTGGTGATAATGTCAGTCTTTGGTTGTGTTCAATAGAGATAAAATATTTTGAAATGGAGTCAAACAAAGAGGAACTTGCTAAATCTGTTCAATAACAACACATATTTTAATTTCTCTGTTGCAAAACATTTTGATACAGTGTGCCATACTGAACATCCCCTCCTGTTGAACTTCCCCTCCTCCTCCTACTGGACTCCCACACTCAGACTGGCCCAGTCACAGCTGCCCACAACATTCAATATTATGTTGATTTATGAGGCTTTTCCTATGCAAAAAAGAAACAACCTTTTATCTACCTTACCCACCTAACCTTTTATCTACTACCTTAGTTGAATGCACTGACTGTAAGTCACTCTGGATAAGAGCATCTGCTAAATGACCTAAATGTAAATGCAATTTTCTCTAGTAGTCAATTCACATTCATTTAGTTCTGAAAGGGTTGAATTGTTCTTTCTATGGAATAATTGTTAATTTGGCCATATCTACTGCCATCATCACGTTAGTTATTCTGTGTAGGCTCGATATGTAGCCCACGAGGCAGCTAGGGAGCATGGCTGTGAGTCAACAGTTAGTCAGTCAGAACCTGGGCCCCAGCCCAGCAGACGTCCCGTTTGAGTCAACAGTTAGTCAGTCAGAACCCGGGCCCCAGCCCAGCAGACGTCCCGTTTGAGTCAACAGTTAGTCAGTCAGAACCCGGGCCCCAGCCCAGCAGACGTCCCGTTTGAGTCAACAGTTAGTCAGTCAGAACCCGGGCCCCAGCCCAGCAGACGTCCCGTTTGAGTCAACAGTTAGTCAGTCAGAACCCGGGCCCCAGCCCAGCAGACGTCCCGTTTGAGTCAACAGTTAGTCAGTCAGAACCCGGGCCCCAGCCCAGCAGACGTCCCGTTTGAGTCAACAGTTAGTCAGTCAGAACCCAGGCCCCCCGTTTCTAGTAGGCGTCATTGAGTTTTCTCACTACAGAGCCTCAAGGTCATTCACAATGGCCAGGAGAAGACAGATTACAACAAAGGCTCTTCTAACAGCAGGCTCCCTCTCCATCATCTCTAAGTCCACACACATCTTTATAGGGTTGTCAGTCAGTGCACACCAATAACCTGGGTAAATACTGTAGGCCTCGTTTTCTCAACAGAAACAACATCTGACCTAGAAGAGAGAGTTGAAGGACTAGTGTGTGTTAGAGAGCTCACAATGCTGACATTGTAAGGAATATTATGTATTTTAGCAGGACTTTAGTCAGTGAAGTGATGATATCATGTGGGGATAACTTGCCTACGTGGAATTCAGTCTCTATTGTGAAAGCCTTACACAGCTGATGTCATGTCTCATTCATGGAAATTGGAAGACGCTCTCATTGCAACTTCTGAGGCTGGTGTTTTTATACGTATTTTTAACGTTTTAGTCGTTTGAATCATGTTATTACCTCAGTGGACCTCAGTAAGCAGGCCAAAACTAGAAGGACTTGCCCTGTTTGTGCAGCATAGCTCAGCCTTATCAATCATTAACTGAAGAATGGAAAGGCATGCCTTTTCTCAAAACAGCAGTGAATGGACATTGTCAATACAGGCTAACTTCCCTGCCCACCCACGCTATCGTGATAGGCTGGTCTGTGTCGAGGGGTTATGTCACTATGGCCCTCTCCACCTATGGCTGTCTCTGACAGGGGCCCCTTCTGAAGTCAACCAGGTGCCTTTACTGTAACTAGCTAACTACTGCTGGGATGCTTCTAAAGGCTGACGTGCAGTAGGATGTTGATTTTTTTTCACAACCACACACAATTTACTTTAGAGTCAAACATAGATGTTTACCAGACTACCTTAGTATGAAATCTGAAACGAGAGCCCAGGAGTAAATGTTTTAAGTGAAACACCTTGTGATTTTCACACTCAATTCCCTCCGATCAGTCTTTTTGTCTATAACAAAGCATAGATAAACAAAGACATGATCTGTTGTGTTTCCTCTGTCTTTACATACAGTATCATCCCCTTTGAAGTACACGTCTTTGTGACATTGCTCCTCAGCTTCTCTGTCACTGTTAGTTCCTATAGTGTTTGAACCCCTATTTCATTTAATTTAAAAAAACATTTTAGGGGGTAGATCAGCTTTAATATTGCAGATAGATTGTGGCTTCCATCAGTGTAATTGTCTGCATCATTTCCAATCCCCCATATTTTATTTTGTAAATATATAGATTTCCCTTTATTATTTTCCCCTAACCCTACCATCCATCCCCTAATTAGAGTAAACTAATGGACAACAGCACTTAGGCTTCTACTTCCAGCTAATACATACTATATACATTTTACGGACACAGTATATTTTACAATAGTTATCTTTTGTTATATTTTAGTCTCATCCTTGAGCTCCACTCAACCCTTCCTTTCTATCTCTGAACACCATCCAGTTCTGATTTCTATTTGCCATATATTTTTAAACTGTGCTGTGATGTTTCACAAAAGTTCTGAACCTTTCTATTCTCATAGATTCTACATATTGTAAATATTTTTGCTAAGAGTATTATTATATTATTGATCGATTGACTATAACTTTTTTAATCACCCAGCAGGGCTATTTACTGAGTTAGCTCCAGGTAAATGTTGCAATTCTTCAGCCATTCCTGAACCTGCGACCAAAAATAAGCTACATATGGACAATACCTAAACAAAGATCTAATGATTCTGACTCTTCGCAGTGTTACTAATGTCTCTCTGTCATGTCTCTCTCTCCACAGGTCAATGTTCGCGTCACCACCATGGATGCTGAGCTGGAGTTTGCCGTCCAGCCCAGCACCACTGGTAAACAGCTCTTTGACCAGGTCAGTGTTTACAGTACCCTTCTAGCTGTTATATTCAATGGATTGGTCCCAGCAACAGCAGAGCACCTAGAGTATTTACAATACATTTTTGGCAGACATTTTAAATTAATGTATTTTGAGGCTATCCTGTGTGTGAGTACAAGTGCAAGTGTTACTGAAACTGATTACCGGTAGTGTGAGTTTACTGAAACTGATTACCATTAGGGTGATGTTACTGAAACTGATTACTGGTAGTGTGAGGTTACTGAAACTGATTACCGGTAGTGTGAGGTTACTGAAACTGATTACCGGTAGTCTGACAAGAGAGAGTCAAGAGGGTACTGAAACTGATTACCGGTAGTGTGAGGTTACTGAAACTGATTACCGGTAGTCTGACAAGAGAGAGTCAAGAGGGTACTGAAACTGATTACCGGTAGTGTGAGGTTACTGAAACTGATTACCGGTAGTCTGACAAGAGAGAGTCAAGAGGATACTGAAACTGAATACTGGTAATGTGAGAAGAGAGAGTATGATAAAAGCCTTTTTATTTTGATCAGATTACAATATGTATGACAATGTAGATGTAAAATTGACATGATTTATGGAAGTGAATCATCCCAACCATTGTCCTTCCCACGGAACCCAGAAATACATCTGTTTGAGCCGGTCCCTGTCATCAATGTTTTCTGTACAACATGTTTGAATGCAGCATGTTTGTACGGTAAGTATAGAGGGGCAATAAGATAATATCGTATTGTTCTCAGATTACTGTACATTGACAAGAGCTTATAGTATGTTTCTGCCGTAACCTCTTGTTGGTTGGTACATCAGTGTACTGTAATGTACTGTATGTGAGAGGGTGGCAGGTAGCTTAGTGGTTAGAGCGTTGGGCCAGTAATCGAAATCTGTCGACGTGCCCTTGAGCAAGGCACTTAACTCTAATTTGCTCCGGGTGCCGAACTACTATGGCTGACCCTGTAAAACAACACATTTCACTGCACCTTTCCGGTGTATTTGATAAATAAAACTTTTGTTTTTGATGTGCTTATGTAATGGTTGAGTCCCATGATGTCACTTCTGTAGCTACAGTGTGGACTGGATTCCAAAGGCATCATGAGATGTACAGATGTAGGATCTTAATTTGCTCACTCTTTTGTTGCTGAGAATTTTCCTGCATAGCAGGAAATGCAAAATTGTAGTTTATTCAAGGTTTAAAAAGGCTTCTAAAGTTTGTAATTTCCACTTTAAAATTTCAGATTTGATTTGCCCTAATGAAAAATGTGTGCCCCTACAATGTCCATTAATTATAATCCACATAATAACTCACATTTCCTGTTGCTGCAGGATTATTTTCCTGCTGTAGCAAACTGGCTCAAATTAAGATCCTACATCTGTAGCAGGCATTTATTCCATCACGCAATGGGGAAAGGAAGGGCATTGTCATTTCCTGAATAACTTGTTTGTGTGTGTGGATACATGTTTAGGGAATTTTACTTTCAGGCTCTCTGCAGAGATATTAGCATTAGATTCAGATGTTCCACTTCCGTGTCACTAAAAATTCCTCCACCTACATGTTGAAAGGCCTCAGTGGGGTGTGTCAGACATTGTCGTGCACCAGAATAATTTGTGTTGGAAACAGTTTATCGCCGCTCACAATACAGATGCACGTAAAGGTTTTTTTGTCTTGTGAACTGTCCATCTGATAACCACCAGTAGCCAAAGTTGAAGTCTACTAACATCTAACTACTGCTTCCTCTGGTTAGCAATGTGTCCGTCTGAAGCCTGTGACCTAATTGAATTAGAATCTTGGCCTGGGCAGGTGAAGTCAGTAGCAGAAATCCCCTGCAGAGAAGGACACAGACAGTCAGACAGAAGCATGCATGCACACACACAAACATACACACACATTTTAAATACTTTATTTGAATCCACCAATCAAATGTACAAAAAAAGGATCCAAACATTTCAAAGGTCCCTGTAAGCATGGCACTCAATGGTATAGAAATCACCTCCTTCTCCAAACAGCTAGGCTGCCCACGACAGCTGAAACAGAGCAGTACCTAGCCAATTGCTTTGCCCTAGTTTTTGTCAGGCCCGCAATCTGGAGGCCACGTACTGCAAGCCTGTGTACGTTGGCCGAGACTGCCAAATATCAGCGCCACCAGCTTCCACCTACACCCGAGGCTGTCCAAGCGTGCTACGAGGGGCTGGTATTTAAGCAGCTTCTCTGCAAAGTCCTGTTCCATGTAGCCCCCTGGCCTCCCCCCACAACAACACACACACAGAGAGCCCCCCCCCCCCCCCCCCCCCGGTATTACTCAGCATCACTGGTGAGCTCATCCCCTGTTAAAGTGGCCTGGCGTGGGGCCCTCTTTGTGGTGGTCCCTGATCATATCCTCCTCTCTGTGGTGGTCCCTGATCATATCCTCCTCTCTGTGGTGGTCCCTGATCATATCCTCCTCTCTGTGGTGGTCCCTGATCATATCCTCCTCTCTAGGGTGGGCCCTGATCATATCCTCCTCTCTAGGGTGGTCCCTGATCATATCCTCCTCTCTAGGGTGGTCCCTGATCATATCCTCCTCTCTAGGGTGGTCCCTGATCATATCCTCCTCTCTAGGCATATCCTCCTCTCTAGGGTGGGCCCTGATCATATCCTCCTCTCTAGGGTGGTCCCTGATCATATCCTCCTCTCTAGGGTGGTCCCTGATCATATCCTCCTCTCTAGGCATATCCTCCTCTCTAGGGTGGGCCCTGATCATATCCTCCTCTCTAGGGTGGTCCCTGATCATATCCTCCTCTCTAGGGTGGGCCCTGATCATATCCTCCTCTCTAGGGTGGGGCCTGATCATATCCTCCTCTCTAGGGTGGGCCCTGATCATATCCTCCTCTCTAGGGTGGGCCCTGATCATATCCTCCTCTCTAGGGTGGGCCCTGATCATATCCTCCTCTCTGTGGTGGTCCCTGATCATATCCTCCTCTCTAGGGTGGTCCCTGATCATATCCTCCTCTCTGTGGTGGTCCCTGATCATATCCTCCTCTCTAGGGTGGTCCCTGATCATATCCTCCTCTCTAGGCATATCCTCCTCTCTAGGGTGGGCCCTGATCATATCCTCCTCTCTGTGGTGGTCCCTGATCATATCCTCCTCTCTAGGGTGGTCCCTGATCATATCCTCCTCTCTGTGGTGGTCCCTGATCATATTCTCCTCTCTGTGGTGGTCCCTGATCATATCCTCCTCTCTAGGGTGGTCCCTGATCATATCCTCCTCTCTAGGGTGGTCCCTGATCATATCCTCCTCTCTAGGGTGGGCCCTGATCATATCCTCCTCTCTGTGGTGGTCCCTGATCATATCCTCCTCTCTAGGCATATCCTCCTCTCTAGGGTGGGCCCTGATCATATCCTCCTCTCTAGGCATATCCTCCTCTCTAGGGTGGTCCCTGATCATATCCTCCTCTCTGTGGTGGGACCTGAACATATCCTCCTCTCTGTGGTGGTCCCTGATCATATCCTCCTCTCTAGGGTGGGCCCTGATCATATCTCCTCTCTAGGGTGGTCCCTGATCATATCCTCCTCTCTAGGCATATCCTCCTCTCTAGGGTGGGCCCTGATCATATCCTCCTCTCTAGGCATATCCTCCTCTCTAGGGTGGTCCCTGATCATATCCTCCTCTCTGTGGTGGGACCTGAACATATCCTCCTCTCTGTGGTGGGACCTGATCATATCCTCCTCTCTGTGGTGGTCCCTGATCATATCCTCCTCTCTAGGGTGGGCCCTGATCATATCCTCCTCTCTAGGGTGGTCCCTGATCATATCCTCCTCTCTAGGGTGGTCCCTGATCATATCCTCCTCTCTAGGGTGGGCCCTGATCATATCCTCCTCTCTAGGGTGGGCCCTGATCATATCCTCCTCTCTAGGGTGGTCCCTGATCATATCCTCCTCTCTAGGGTGGTCCCTGATCATATCCTCCTCTCTAGGCATATCCTCCTCTCTAGGGTGGGCCCTGATCATATCCTCCTCTCTAGGGTGGTCCCTGATCATATCCTCCTCTCTAGGGTGGTCCCTGATCATATCCTCCTCTCTAGGCATATCCTCCTCTCTAGGGTGGGCCCTGATCATATCCTCCTCTCTAGGGTGGTCCCTGATCATATCCTCCTCTCTAGGGTGGGCCCTGATCATATCCTCCTCTCTAGGGTGGGGCCTGATCATATCCTCCTCTCTATGGTGGGCCCTGATCATATCCTCCTCTCTAGGGTGGGCCCTGATCATATCCTCCTCTCTAGGGTGGGCCCTGATCATATCCTCCTCTCTGTGGTGGTCCCTGATCATATCCTCCTCTCTAGGGTGGTCCCTGATCATATCCTCCTCTCTGTGGTGGTCCCTGATCATATCCTCCTCTCTAGGGTGGTCCCTGATCATATCCTCCTCTCTAGGCATATCCTCCTCTCTAGGGTGGGCCCTGATCATATCCTCCTCTCTGTGGTGGTCCCTGATCATATCCTCCTCTCTAGGGTGGTCCCTGATCATATCCTCCTCTCTGTGGTGGTCCCTGATCATATTCTCCTCTCTGTGGTGGTCCCTGATCATATCCTCCTCTCTAGGGTGGTCCCTGATCATATCCTCCTCTCTAGGGTGGTCCCTGATCATATCCTCCTCTCTAGGGTGGGCCCTGATCATATCCTCCTCTCTGTGGTGGTCCCTAATCATATCCTCCTCTCTAGGCATATCCTCCTCTCTAGGGTGGGCCCTGATCATATCCTCCTCTCTAGGCATATCCTCCTCTCTAGGGTGGTCCCTGATCATATCCTCCTCTCTGTGGTGGGACCTAAACATATCCTCCTCTCTGTGGTGGTCCCTGATCATATCCTCCTCTCTAGGGTGGGCACTGATCATATCTCCTCTCTAGGGTGGTCCCTGATCATATCCTCCTCTCTAGGCATATCCTCCTCTCTAGGGTGGGCCCTGATCATATCCTCCTCTCTAGGCATATCCTCCTCTCTAGGGTGATCCCTGATCATATCCTCCTCTCTGTGGTGGGACCTGAACATATCCTCCTCTCTGTGGTGGGACCTGATCATATCCTCCTCTCTGTGGTGGTCCCTGATCATATCCTCCTCTCTAGGGTGGGCCCTGATCATATCTCCTCTCTAGGGTGGTCCCTGATCATATCCTCCTCTCTAGGCATATCCTCCTCTCTAGGGTGGGCCCTGATCATATCCTCCTCTCTAGGCATATCCTCCTCTCTAGGGTGATCCCTGATCATATCCTCCTCTCTGTGGTGGGACCTGAACATATCCTCCTCTCTGTGGTGGGACCTGATCATATCCTCCTCTCTGTGGTGGTCCCTGATCATATCCTCCTCTCTAGGGTGGGCCCTGATCATATCCTCCTCTCTAGGGTGGTCCCTGATCATATCCTCCTCTCTAGGGTGTTCCCTGATCATATCCTCCTCTCTAGGGTGGTCCCTGATCATATCCTCCTCTCTGTGGTGGGACCTGATCATATCCTCCTCTCTGTGGTGGGACCTGAACATAGCCTTGCTGCCTCAGCCCTCTCATAGGACCAGTGACGTGCAGCCCTAACTCTTCAACACACACTCACTTAGATTTTCCATAGAACTGCTCAAAGCCTTTTTACCCACTTCAGTTTTTCATAGATACTGTGTATTTATACATTCAGGACAGGCCACCTAAACAGTTGAACAGCTACTTCAATAGGTGGCACACTCATGCAGTAATAACATGAAGACCGACAAGTCTTCAAACCTAGGATTTCAGTTGCTTTCCCTCTCCACTCACTTTGCATGTGTGTTCTAATGGATATATAAATAGCTATACATTTACCATTATCTCTCTCCCTGCCTCTGTGTGGTGTGTATGTATGTCTGTCTGTCTGATCCCTGTCTGGGTATGTTCCTACTCCTCCTCCTCTTCCTCCACTCCATCCCTCCTCCCTTCCCCCGACCGCTCTGGAACGTCACATTAGTCAGTGAATGTAGGGAGTTATGCCCTTCTCTCTCTCTCTCTCTCTCTCCTCTCTCTCTCTCTCCTCTCTCTCTCTCTCTCTCCTCTCTCTCTCCTCTCCTCGCTCTCTCTCTCTCGTCCTCCCTCCTCTCTCTCTCCTCGTCTCTCTCTCTCCTCTTCGCTCTCGCTCGCCTCCTCTCTCTCCTCTCCTCTCTCTCTCTCCCTCCTCTCTCCTCCCTCCTGTCTCCTCTCTTCTCTCTCTCTCTCTCGCTCTCTCTCTCTCTCTCTCTCTAATCACAGGGCTTTTGCCCTCATAAACGCTACTGAGAGAAACGTTCACTTGGAAGTCTGACTGGAGTGACCGTGCAAGGCGTGGCATTCGTGCCCCTGTTCAACTGTTCAGACTGCACGTGATGCAGAGGAGGGGATTCTGAAAAGTTGTCCAGAGGTGGTTCAAGCTGATTCTCAATAGTTTTTTCCCCTCTAGTTTTATATGCAGTATGTAGATGGTGTATATTATACATCTTTAATCCTTTGAATAATACTGCATATTTAACAATGATCTGCGGCCCCAAAGATAAAGAATGAGAGAATGTTTAGATGTCCTGCATGACAGGATTCTTGGATCCATTCTGGGACCTAGCTAGCCTAGGTCTTTTGTGTTGGGTGAGAACAGCTAACATGTAATCTACAGTTTGAGCTTCATTGACTCAACTGCAAATGTTTGTCTTAGAGCTGTTTAATGATTGGCTGATGGAAGTGGCCTGGCAGTGAGTGGCACACCCAGTTTGTAACTCTTTGGTCAACCACTTTTCAGCCTAAAAAATCTAGTATTATTTGATAAAAAGCCGTTTGACCCATCCCTAGAGGTACATTTTCTGCTTTTGCAGACAGACAAAGGTGTCTAGTTGTACCAGAGCCCCTGTAGCTTATCCCCCCTGGGAAAAGGAATCCTTCAGTACCCTCTCTCCCTCTCCCCCCTCTCTGTGTGCTTCCCGGTCCCAAAGCCCCATGAAAGGGGCCGTTTGTGTCCTGAAACCTTCAGGACTTTCATTCCAGGGGAGACAACGCAGTCAGAGGCACTCTCGCATTTCAGGCCTTACCAGTCAGTGCTTGTTGTGCTAAAATACAATTTGGAGAGAACTCCACCTGAATCAAAGTCATTAATCTGCTGCAACCCCGGAAGGTTAGCCCAGATTCGTATTAGGTGTCGGCTAAGTAAGTGCTGGGGCGCTTGATTTTATGTTAACCTTGGCCACTGCTTATCGGATAGGAATGGGTTTGGCCGGAGTGCCTGCTGTGTGTGTGTGTGTGTGGTGTTCACTCAAGCTGCTTCACCCAGCCAGCTAAGCACCCCACATGATGATTGGGTGGGGAATCTGGCAGCAGTACAAACAGAACATGGCCTGGCGACTGGTGAGAGTTTCCCATCCTAAATTACATTTCTGGTCTATAGACTCTCTATAACCCATAATATATCACTTAAAGGGACTGTTTTCCCGGAAACAGAATAACCCTAGTCCTGAACTAAAAATAATTCTCGATGGAAATGTTCCATTGGAAGCGCTTTTTAGTCTAGTGGTAGACTTATTTTGTGTCTGGGAAACCTACCCATAGGGTTTGTCCGAATTTGACACCCTAGTCCCTATAGTTAACACCTTTTGACCAGAAGTAGTCTCTGGTCGTTCGCGGTTGCGCTCCGAAGTCAGCGGAAAAGAGCATCTCTTCTTACAGCAACAAGTGATTCCCAGATCTGTAATCGACTACTCTTCCCTCTCTCTACACTAATCTCGTATTGATGGGGGAATAAAATCGATACAGTTATATATCAGGATATTCTTTTTTACGATATATCATATCTTATCATTTTGACAATAGCGCAACATTATTTTTGGGCTAGTTGTCTGCACCTGCACCAAAAGCTTGTTCTCCATCTTCTTTTTAAATAGGGAGCCAATTTGTTTTTAGCACTTTCAGTTTCATGACTGATCAAAACTTGTTTTCTCATGTCTCTCTCTTGTCCCTCTGCTGCTGACATATGGTGAGCAATATGTTTGGAACGCCGAAAATGCAATAAAATGACAGTATCGAATCGCAATACATATAGAATCATGAGAATCGCAATACATATAGAATCATGAGAATCGCAATACATATCATATCGGCACCTAAGTATGGTGATAATATCGGTTTGTGAGGTCCCTGGCAATCCCCAGCCCTATCATTTCCTAATGTTCCAATGTGTTGTAAAGAAGCCAGTCTTACAGACAGTACACACTAGTCATTCACTATTAGGGTTCCTCCTCAGAAGTCAAGCAATAGAGGCATAGTGTTGGGGAGTAGACCGGTGTTGGGGAGTAGTGAACTATATGTAGTAATTTAATAACATTTTGCAGTAGCTTGGTGGTAGTTGAACTAAATTATAATATTGGTAGTGTTTTCAGTAGTTAATAACTTTTTTGCCATGTGGAGGTGTAGCTAACTACTGGAACTACACACAACTTTTTTTGGCAAAAATAAGAGAAAATATAGGTAGGATGCCCAGCACTGAGAGGGTTGAGAGGAGGATCAGATGGAGCGGATAGATCTAGGAGGATGAGAACAGAGGAGAGAGAGTCAGCTTTGGCAGTGCGGAGAGCCTCCGTGACACATAGGAGAGCATTCTCTGTTGAGTGACCCGTCTTGAAGCCTGACTGGTTAGGGTCAAGAAGATTGTCCTGAGAGAGATAACGAGGAAGTTGGTCAAAGACAGAACGCTCAAGTGTTTTTGGAAATTAAAGGAAGAAGGGATACCAGTCAGAGAGGTTGAGTGTTGTTTTTTGAGGAGGGGAGCGACTAGCCATTTTGAAGTCAGAGGGGATGCAGCCAGTGGTCAAGGATGAGTTGATGAGGGAAGTGAGGAATGGGAGAAGGTCTCCAGAGCTGGTCTGGAGAAGGGAGGAGGGGTTTGGAGTCGAGTGGGCAGATTGTCAGGGGACCGGACCTCACACATAATTTCAACTCGAGAGCGAGGGGAGAAAGAGGTCAAGGCGTAGGGTAGTTATGTGTGAGTGGGACCAGTGGACTCAATAGGCTAATTGAGTGAGGAGCGGATGTCGTCAACCTTCTTTTCAAAGTGGTTAACAAAGTCGTCCTCAGAGAGGGTGGAGGAAGTGTGTGTATGGATGTATGTGTATGTGTGTGTGTGTGTGTGTGTGTATATATATATATATATATATATATATATATATATATATATATATATATATATATATATATATATATATATATATATATAATATACATATTTACGAGAAAAAAAACATATGGGGGATTGGAAGTGATGCAGACAATTACATTGATGGAAGTTACAATCTATCTGAAATATTAAAGCTGATCTACCCCCTAAAAAAAAAAAAAAAAAAAAAGTCGACCTCAGAGAGGGAGGAGGGAGGGGGAGGGGTGGATGATTAAGGCGGGAGGAGAAGGTGGAAAAGAGTTTCCTAGGGCAGCTACTCTTCCTGGGGTCCACACAAAACATAAAACATGACATAATACAGAACATTAATAGACAACAACAGCTCAAGGATTACATACATTTAAAATGTCCCACGTAGCCTACATATCAGTATGTACACAAAATATCTAGGTCAAATAGGGGAGAGGCATTGTGCCATGAGGTGTTGCTTTATCTGTTGAAACCAGGTTTGTTGTTCCCTTGAGCAATCTGAGATGGAAGGGAGGTCCATGCTGCAATCATGGCTCTATATAATACTGTACGTTTTCTTGAATTTGTTCTGGATTTGGGGACTGTGAAAAGACCCCTGGTGGCATGTCTGGTGGGGTAAGTGTGTGTGTCAGATCTGTGTGTAGGTTGACTATGCAAACTATTTGGAACACATTGTATCTTATAAAAAGAAGTGATGCAGACAGTCTCTTCTCTACTTTTAGGCAAGAGAAACTGGCATGATATTAGCCGTCTGATTACAGGGAAGAGCTAGATGTGCCACTCTGTTTTGGACCAGTTGCAGTTTAACTAGGTCTTTCTTTGCAGTGCCTGACCATATGACTGGGCAATAATCAAGATAGGATAAAACTAGAGCCTGCAGCCTGTGGTGTCAAAAAAGCAGAGCATCTCTTTATTACGGACAGACCTCTCCCCATCTTTACAACCATTGAATCAATATGTTTTGACCATGACAGTTTACAATCCATGGTAGCACCAAGTAATTTAGTCTCCTCAACTTGCTCAACAGCCACATTATTCATTATCAGATTCAGCTAAGGTCTAGAATTTAGGGAATGATTTGTACCAAATACAATGCTCTTAGTTTTAGAGACTGCAACTCTTTGTTTAGGATTACAGTGATTTCACTTGCTGTGGTTGCATATAGGGTTGAATCATCAGCATACATAGACATACAGGCTTTGTTTAATGCCAGTGGCAGGTCATTAGTAAAAATAGAAAGTAGCTTTAGCAGTGGATACAGAGGAAGAGAAGGGAGTGAAAGGATGATAGGTCCTCCGGAAGTTTAGTTTTCCTCCAAGACATCACAGATCTAGGCTAGAAGGAGCCAGCATGTATGTCCGGGGCTGGGAAAGGCGTAATCCTATGAGGCCTGGCCAGATTAAGCCTGGTACCTGAGTATGTCATTCCGGGCCGTGTCAACATAAAGCCACAGGGCTCAAAGGCCTGTTTATAGAAGACGCTATGCTCTGCTTGTGATCATGCAGCACTGGTGGTACAATCTAGTTTATTTTGCACAAATGACTTCATTGTTTTTTACGTTGTGAATGAATTATGGTTTGAGTGGTTTCGGTTGACTACTTTCCCGAATGTTACCTCATCTCTGTGAAAAATAATCTTGTGGTTTGATGATAAAAGCAAGTTCTGTATTCCAAGATGTTCTTGGATGTGTACACTACTGCTGTGTGGCAGTTGTGTAAGCTAGTGGGTTTAATATATAGAGGTACTAAACATTGTTTACTTATCAATTCATTTAGGCCTGGAGATCTGCTCACATAACTTGAGTTTTCACTCAAATCTTCCATTGACATCAATGCATGATTTATGCAATCATCAAGAAGTGCTCAGATCTCAAGTTAGGATCCTGCCTTCACAGTGTATCCTATTTGTTTGTGTTTGGTAGGTAGAGTTTGTGTCTCTAGTAAGTGTCTTACTGACAGAGTTGATTCATGGTACTGTCTCTTTCTCGTCCACAGGTGGTGAAGACCATCGGCTTGAGGGAAGTCTGGTACTCTGGTCTTCAGTATGTGGACGGTAAAGGATACCTCACCTGGCTGAAGCTTGACAAAAAGGTAAGGTTCATCTAGGACTGACAATGTTGTTTTTTTTTTTTTTTTTTTTGGGGGGGGGGTGGATCAGCTTAATATTGCAGATAGATTGTATCTTCTATCAATGTAATTGTCTGCATCACTTCCAATCCCCCATGTTTTTTATATATATATACTCCCCTTTATTACTTTTCAACCCCACCATCCTTTCCCTACTTGGAGTAAATTAGTGAACAACAATGCCCAGGCCTCTACTTCCGGTCTATACTTACTATCTACACCTTATGGACAGAGTTAATTTTACAATAATTATATATATATATATATATATTTTTTTTTTTTGCTCCTGAACTTCTTCTACTCTCAACCTCTCCGATCATTTTCATGATGTCCATCCGGTTTGCTTCTACATGCCATATCTTTCTAACTGTGCTCTTTCCCAAAAGCTCCCAACATACAACCTATATACTTATTATGGACACAGTATGCTTACATTATTAGCTATCTTTGTTATTATTTGTTGTTATTTGTTATTAGTCCCATCCTTCAACTCTATTCAATAGGACTGACAATGTTACAAGTCCCCTGTATTTTGCCTGATGTAGTACCGTGTACAAATATTTGTTAATATCTGCTAAGGCATTCTCAAACCATTTCCCGCTCTATTCTTAAACCGCTGGACTTCCGCATATTTTTTGGCATAACCATTCTACAATCAACAAAATAAAATAGACCATACAAAAAGAGCACATTCTTTTAAAGGCGGGGTCAAATCACTCGACATTATATTTGCTTACCACTCACTCAATCAATCAGTAGCCACTCACTCACTGCATTATTGAATTCACATAATGCATTGGGGCTGGCGAATGGCCACCCTCTCTCACTCCTGTGCAGGCCGGTGGCTAATTCTGAATCTCCCTTCTTTTATTTTCACATCCTGTCAGTGACTGTCTGAAAATGCACCCTATTCCCTATATAGTGTACTACTTTTGACCAGGGCCCATAAGGAGCCCCACAGGGCTCGGGTCAAAAGTTGTGCACTATATAGGGAATAGGGTGCCATTTGTGACGCAAGCAATCTCCAGTCAAATCCACACCAATGAAATTCCTGTGCAGCCAGTAGTGTGAACTCTTAGTGAACCACTAGATACTAAAATACTAGTTCTACTTCATTCTTGCTGTTGTTACTGAGCAAACAAAAATGTCACACTGCTCTGTCTTCATTAACTTGTAGACCCTGTAGACTCTGTACTGACAGTATAGCTACGGTATAGTTATAGTATAGTTATAGTATAGTTACAGTATAGTTACATTATAGCTAAAACACATCCACCTGTGTCTGTGGAATAGAGTTGAGCCTGTGTCAATGTGCAGAATTTCCAAATGCGTCAGATGGTTATCACCAGAGCTGTATATACACGTTGCGCACTGTATGTATAAAATGGCTCTGGTTATCACATCATGGAGGTCACACAAACCCACCAACCCCACCTTACATTATTTGGTTTGGGCTGATTTATATTGCACGGATAGTAAACCGTTTCCTTTTGCTATATTAGCATTACGGCCCAATGTGAGGAGATAGACTATTAGCATTACGGCCCAATGTGAGGAGATAGACTATTAGCATTACGGCCCAATGTGAGGAGATAGACTATTAGCATTACGGCCCAATGTGAGGAGATAGACTATTAGCATTAGTGTAAATGTAGTGATGTTATAGGGCTAGTAGAGTAGCTTTACTTAGTTTACAGTGAAAGGTGTATAAAGGTGTTAGGCCGGTTGTGGGTTCACAAGGACATTTGAAGTACAGATTGACTGAGGACACAGGACAGTGGGGTGCTTACTAGAGCTGGGCAATATTGGGAAAAAAATGCATTAATTTATGCGATATCGATAAATAGAACAATACATTTATAACATTAATGCACCACAGTCTTTTTGAAATTATACTTAAACTACTACTAATATTTTGGTGGTTGTAGACATCAATTGTCCCATTAACAATTCCCCATATTAGCAAATGTATTTCATTTCAAACTTCACATTTCTCTAGTATATGCTACTTATAGTAATAAACGATATCAGAAAAATGCCTGCGATAAGTGATCGGAATGGTCAGTGTTGATCATTTTCAGTTTATTGTACCAGCTCTAGCACTTACAGTAGAATTTTATAATTTTCTGACAACCCAGTGGTGAGAGAGCGAGCGAGAGAGACAGAGACAGAGACAGACACAGAGACAGAGACAGACACAGAGACAGACACAGAGACAGACACAGAGACAGACACAGAGACAGACACAGAGACAGAGACAGAGACAGAGACAGAGACAGACAGAGACACAGAGACAGACACAGAGAGAGACAGAGTGACACAGAGAGAGAGACAGAGACAGAGACAGAGACTTGTTGGTCTTGCTTCCCTTCATGCAGGCTGGCCAGGCCAGTTGAAAAGCTGTGTGCTGACTGTGCTGCTCTATCAGCACAATGCTCTAATGGGAATATTCCAGTCGTTTCACACACCCACCCCATTCGCCTCATCAATACCTTGTAGTTCCTGTTTTGGAGCCAACACAGAAGATGAGGCCAATGTCAGTAAACAACACAGAGGATCATTCAAGTTTTATCAGTACCATGCATTTTACACATCCCTCTTTTACAGAGGAATATGACAGTGCATTTTTTTTATGCAGCACTGTGCGTCCAAGACAATTTAAGCCCCCGGGAACAATAAAGTTGATCCAATCCTATCATTCTTTGCTAATCATGAAACTAGTAGACATAGGGCTACATCCCAAATGGCACCCTATTCCCTAATACAGTGCACCATAGGGCTCTGGTCAAAAGTAGTGCACTATATAGGGAATAGGGTGCCATTTGGGATGTAGCCCTATGTCTACTAGTTTCATGATTAGCAAAGAATGATAGGATTGGATCAACTTTATTGGGTGCCATTTGGGACGGAGATCCTCTTGAAGGACATTGGGACAATAAATGCGTCAATCATCAATCAATGAATCAATCAATGATCAATCAATCGTCTCTCTCCAACCAGGTGTCGTCCCAGGACGTGAAGAAGGAGAACCCGCTGCAGTTCAAGTTCCGCGCCAAGTTCTTCCCCGAGGACGTGTCTGAGGAGCTCATCCAGGACATCACCCAGAAGCTGTTCTTCATGCAGGTAACACACACACACACACACACACGCACACACACACACACACACACGCATACACACACACACACACACGCATACACATACACACACACACACACCACGCACACACACGCACACACACTGTCATACTATTCTTTGTACTCACAATGCTTCATTGCTGATACAAACAAAGTTGTTAAGTGTGTGTGTGTGTGTCCAGGTGAAGGAGGGCATCCTGAGCGATGAGGTGTACTGTCCCCCGGAGACGGCCGTGCTGCTGGCCTCATACTCCGTCCAAGCCAAGTTCGGAGACTATACCCGGGACCTCCACCGGCCCGGCTACCTCACCTCAGACCGTCTCCTGCCCCAGCGGTGAGCGTCGATCCACTCCCAGCCCACACTAGGGGTGCATCCCAAATGGCACCCTATTCCCTATGCGGAGCACTACTTTAGACCAGAGTCCTATAGGTCCTGGTCAAAAGTAGTGCACCATAGGACTCTGGTCAAAAGTAGTGCTCTACATAGGGAATATGGTGCCATTTAGGACACAACCGAGACAACTTTTCCAATAGCCACAGTAGCATGAAGCACACTCCTTGCTTCATGTCGATGTATTGGGGATGCATTCTAAGTGGTATGCTAGTATCGACATTGGAACATAGGAAGCCAGGAGTACAGATACTAGACAATAGCTAAGTGTGATACTGTTATAAACCGGAACAGGATGAAGTTTTGTGTACACGTATGTACATAAACACAAAAAAATCAATGTCATGAGAAACCCAATATTGATCATAACATGAGTACCCTTTATTCAGTGTATCTTCTCTCTGTGTACACTCTCTTCTGTTCCTCCTCCTCCCTCCTCCTCTTTTCCCTTTTTGTCCTCATCCTCATCTTCTCCTCCTCATCTTCCTCCTCTTCCTCCTCTCCTCCTCATCTTCATCCTCTTCCTCCTCCTCCTCCTCCTCCTCCTCCTCCTCTGTAGGGTTCTGGAGCAGCACAAGCTGTCCAGGGAGCAGTGGGAGGAGAGGATCCAGGTGTGGCATGAGGAACACCGTGGAATGCTCAAGTGAGTTCCTGTCTGTTTTGGTTTGTATGAGTCTCTGTGTTGCTGTCCCTGTCATAAGGAAACAGGTCAATTGCATTATTTGCTGTACCTCAGAAAGCAATTTACAAGTAATAGAGTGGATAGTGTCTTGTAGAGCAGATGAATAAATATTAAATAAATAGCACAGCAGCGTTGACTGTGTGTGTGTGTGTGTGTGTGTTTGTGTTTGTGTGTGTGTGGAGAGTCAAATCAATCCTAAACCATTCCTTCATTTGTCCATGTTTGATCCTGCAGGGAGGATGCCATGCTGGAGTACCTGAAGATCGCCCAGGACCTGGAGATGTACGGAGTCAACTACTTTGACATCAAGAACAAGAAGGGGACCGAGCTGTGGCTGGGAGTGGACGCCCTGGGACTGAACATCTACGAGAAGGAGGACAAGTAAGAAACAACATGGGGGATTGGAAGTGATGCAGACAATTACATTGATGAAGTTACAATCTATCTGCAATATTAAGCTGATCTACCCCTAAAAACATTAATAATAATAATAATAATAATAATTAAGAAACAACTGCCTCCAGAGTCCTGTTCAGTAGGTCACACCGGAGCAAAATGTTTTGCAAAGAAAAATGTAAATGTCCAGGTAGTCCCGCCCCATTTCAGTCTGTTTCAAAACGTTTATTCCCTACTGGACACCACCCATGTTCCCTCTCTGAACTGACCACTAGGGGGTCAATTCATGCAAAACTTGGTTGAACTACGATTCAATTGATGCTGCCGGTTGGGCAAGGTTTACACTTCTGGGTCTATTCCATTGATTCCATTGAGCCAGGCAAGCTCAATCAAACACAGCTAAAGTATTTGAAATATTTAAAATACTGTTTGAACCCAGGTCTAAAGTCATGTAGTCTATCTACCCATTCTGGTTCTGCTTGTCAACGATACCGGTTTGTTTTCCGGCCTTCGCTACAGTTCTGTGTCAGACATTGAAGCCTAATTCCAATGGATTTGACTATTGGAACCGTCCAGGTTAACCCACGTCTTTAGTTAATCAGTACCAATGAAGATTATTCTCAACAGACAGTTACCACAACTCTATTCCCTTCCACTCTCTCTATCTTTTGATGAGCTTCTACTGTGTCTTCATACCCAAGGTTGCTCTGTGGATCTGTGATCCACCAAACACTTTGCTGAAGCTCAAAAGTACAATATTTTACGAGATTGCTCGAGCGACACAAGCGGTAACTGCGTGATTATGTGTTAACTACTTGTTCCCGGTGAGGTCACTAAAGTTAATGGGTTAAAGTAGATTGTGACATAATATTCCAGAGTTCCAGATGGACGCAGACAGACATGGCAGCTCTGCTTCTAGCTCCTAAGCAACTTTGCACTCGTCCTAATATTTATATATTTCTTAATTTCATTCTTTTACTTTTAGATTTGTGTGTATTGTTGTGAATTGTTAGATACTACTGCACTGTTGGAGCTAGGAACACAAGCATTTTGCTACACCCACAATAACATCTGCTAAATATGTGTATGTGACCAATCAAATATACAGTCGATGGCCCTGCAGTCACTGACCCTCTGGCAGAGGGTTCAAATAGTATTTGTTTATTTTCAAATACTTTGAGTGTTTGAGTGAGCCTGCCCAAAGTGCTAGATGGGTGGGGTTTGCACTTTGCACTTTTGGGACTACTCCACTCAATCAAGCACAGCTAAAAGCACTGAAAAGTATGTCTGGAAGACATGCCAAAGTAGTGTTTTGAGTGCAGTGCACTAACCTCTTGCTGGGTTGTGTTGTTGACAACGGCCGTTGCTCCCTCCCTAGAGCTCCATGCACTGTTTAAACTCTCCATGCCAAAAGTCTATTGAAAGCAGTGTGGTCCTAGGCCCCCCAAAAGACTGTCTGGCCACAGATGGTAATGCTGTAACTTGAGTAGCCACAGACGGTAATGCTGTAACTCTGTAACTTGAGTGACCACAGATGGTAATGCTGTAACTTGAGTGGCCACAGATGGTAATGCTGTAACTCTGTAACTTTAGTGGCTACAGATGGTAATGCTGTAACTCTGTAACTTGAGTGGCCACAGATGGTAATGCTGTAACTCTGTAACTTGAGTGGCCACAGATGGTAGTGCTGTAACTCTGTAACTTGAGTGGCTACAGATGGTAATGCTGTAACTCTGTAACTTGAGTGGCCACAGATGGTAATGCTGTAACTCTGTAACTTGAGTGGCTACAGATGGTTATGCTGTAACTCTGTAACTTGAGTGGCCACAGATGGTAATGCTGTAACTCTGTAACTTGAGTGGCCACAGATGGTAATGCTGTAACTCTGTAACTTGAGTGGCTACAGATGGTAATGCTGTAACTCTGTAACTTGAGTGGCTACAGATGGTAGTGCTGTAACTCTGTAACTTGAGTGGCTACAGATGGTAATGCTGTAACTCTGTAACTTGAGTGGCCACAGATGGTAATGCTGTAACTCTGTAACTTGAGTGGCTACAGATGGTTATGCTGTAACTCTGTAACTTGAGTGGCCACAGATGGTAATGCTGTAACTCTGTAACTTGAGTGGCCACAGATGGTAATGCTGTAACTCTGTAACTTGAGTGGCTACAGATGGTAATGCTGTAACTCTGTAACTTGAGTGGCTACAGATGGTAATGCTGTAACTCTGTATCTTGAGTGGCTACAGATGGTAATGCTGTAACTCTGTAACTTGAGTGGCTACAGATGGTAATGCTGTAACTCTGTAACTTGAGTGGCTACAGATGGTAATGCTGTAACTCTGTAACTTGGATTTTTTGGGATTCCCCATTGTCTTACTCTCTACCCACATTATTGTGGCTTGTGTCCAAATTGTCTGGGGGTTTTATATTTAGCTTTAAATCCACACAAAGCACAAATTGATGAGTGTTCCATCAAAGTGTTTATTTACAGAAACTATTGTTCCATAGAATGGCTTTAAAGTTAATCTAACGCTCTTATTTTAATTTAGTAGTCTGGTACCTGTAAATCTGGCGAACCAAAGAGAAGAGAGAGACACTCAAACACAGGGCTTTGCGTGTGTCTGTAGGGTTCTTAGTGTCCTTGAGGGTGTGTGTGTGTGTGTGTGCGCGTGTGCGTGCATGTGTGTGTTTGTGCACTCTTGGCCTCGGCTGTAACCATGACTGGTTTTTCAAGCTGTGCGGTTCTGAAGAATGAGAAACTGACTTAGAGCGCAGGCCCCGCGACGAGAGTTCCAGGCCACAGACAATATGCAGCACTACTACTACCAAGGCCTCTCTCTCACACACACACACACACACACACACACACACACACACACACACACACACACACACACACACACACACACACATACCACACACACATACACACACACACATACACACAACACACATACACACCACACATACACACACACACACACACACATACACATACACATACACACATACACACACACACACATACACACACACACATACACACACACACGTACACACACACACACACACACAGCATTGCTCCTTTTTGTGTCAGTTATGACCATTCTGCCACGGTTTTAGTCCTTAGGCCCTTTGTCAAACAAACACACACCCTCATTCAGCACAAGACATATAGCTAGCTTTCAGGACATGATTCCATTTGGACCCTATACCACACCACTGGGACCTTTTAGTTTGGAGAAAATAGGATGTCCTATATTGTCCCTGATTGCTGTATAAATCCATACAAATGCATGTTTGAGTTTCTATGAGATTCTATATAACCCGGAACACACCATATAATCTTTAGAATGGGCTAAGAGCCTCTGACCCTGGCAATGTGACTGGTGAACTCATTGTTCTTCTATGGAACATACCTCTGTTCAACCTCTGTGGGTACTGTGGATAACAGTCGTTAGGGGTCATTGGGAGGGGCTACCGTATACAAAATCTAATCTAGCACTTAGACATGCCTCTAAATAAGACCTTGTCTCTGTCCTCCTCTATCTGATCCTCGTCTACCACAAACAGGATAACCAGGTTCCTAAAGTTAACGCCCAGAGAGACAATGCTAATCTCTCCAAAAGACACAGCCAAGCACTCGAGATCCTAACTCAATCTGGTGCATGGTGCATGTCAGCAGTTATGTTTTCAAGATAGAGCACTTTCGGTACAGAGCAAAAACTGTAACAATGCTCACTAACATTGATGCTAAAATACCCTGTAGAGTTCAGGTTGGGATCCCTATGAAAAGCTTGTGAAAGAGCAAACTGCTCAGATAACCTCTAGCCTGGTACCAGATCTGTTTGTACAACACGTGACAAAACATGACATAGGTGCTAGTAAGACGGCACAAACAGATCTGGGATTCCTTAAGTGTATGTCACCCAGCGTCTGTAATTGATTGAAATACCAGTTCAGGCAGCAGCAGGGTTTCACAGTGTGTCACTGTGTGTCACTGTAAGGTGGATCAGACAAGGTGTGTGTGTGTGTCTGTGCGTGTGTGTCTGTAAAGTACCAAATTAGATTGGCATCCAGTCAATGTGTTTCTCTCTAGTACACAATGGACGAGCCTCGCCCGAGATTCCTCCCAACTAGCCCTATTGATACAGAGGCCAACATGTACAATACAGTAATACACACGGTCCTGCCTCAGACATGGATGAATCATCTCCTATTTGCACTTGTTTCCTACCACATCCCAGGATGCGTAACCAATGGCATAGACCTATGGCGCCCTGGTCAAAAGTAGTGCACTATATAAGGAATAAGGTGCCTCAGTGTTTCTCCTAACATTGTATGGGTGGGGCAGGCCCAGCCACCTAGCTCTGATCCGCCTGCCTAAAATCATTTCCATTGAAAGATTTGGCTACAATAACCCTGGATTGTGATTTGTAAAATAATCTGGAATAAATCTATGGAAAATGTACACTGTAATGTCCACTATTAAGCCATGTAAATATTTGTCCTGGAGGCAGCGCTGAGTGATTTCCATTAGATGGGCCAGCTGCAAAGTCAAAATTGGCTATATATCGTAAAAATTCATGAAAACAAACATTTGCTTTTTGGTCTTAATTTAAGGTTAGGGTTAGGCATAAGGTTAGCAGTGTGGTTAATGTTAAGGGTTAAGGTGAGGGTTAGGTTTAAAATGATATTTTATGACTTTGTGGCTGTGCTAGCTAGTGACTACTCTGCAGAGCTGCCTCCAGTACATGAGTCATCCCAATAAAAGCCAACCTGCTTAAAGCACATGCGGCCTACACAATACTTACACTGGTTTGCCTCCTCCCCCACCAGACTGACCCCAAAGATCGGCTTCCCTTGGAGCGAGATCAGGAACATCTCCTTCAACGACAAGAAGTTCATCATCAAACCCATCGACAAGAAGGCCCCGGTGAGTTAAACACTGTACACTGAGTGTACAAAACATTAGGAGACAGGTTACCGTAATTTTCAGACTATAAGCCGCGCCTTTTTTCCAAATTTTCGACCCTGCGGCTTATATAACGGTGCCGCTAATCTATGGATTTTTACAGCTAACGGCCACTAGAAGACCTCCTAAATCTATGGATTTTACAGGTTACAGTCCACCAACTTTAACTCTATGGGCTCTATGACCGGTCCGCGCCCCCCACCTTTAAGCGAACGAATTGAGGCTGTTATGAGGGCAAAAGGGGATGCAACTCAATATCAGAATCGGGCATCAGACTCAAGTCGCCATGATCCAGAACCACAATAACACTGTTTTGATGATGGATGGTATTCACCACATCACACACTGTCTTCACACAACACACTTAGCAAACAGCTGCAGCAGCTGTCCTGATAGACCAATACAAAACACAGTAAGCCTGGTCCCAGATCTGTTTGTGTTAGGCCAAACAACAACCATAGGAGTTGGCTATACAGCACAAACAGATCTGGGACCAGGCTAAAACACAATACAGTGTAAGTAAGAGGGAAAGGATGATGTTTACTGTGTATTAATGGTTAGTACAGTTACAGTATGTGGGTGTTGGCTCCCTCACCTCCCATATTGCCAGTTCTGCCTGCCTGCCTCCTCTCCTCTCCTCTCCTCTCCTCTCCTCTCCTCTCCTCTCCTCTCCTCTCCTCTCCTCTCCTCTCCTCTCCTCTCCTCTCCTCTCCTCTCCTCTCCTCTCCTCTCCTCTCCCCTCCCCTCCCCTCCCCTCCCCTCCCCTCCCCTCCCCTCCCCTCCTCTCCTCTCCTCTCCTCTCCTCTCCTCTCCTCTCCTCTCCTCTCCTCTCCTCTCCTCTCCTCTCCTCTCCTCTCCTCTCCTCTCCTCTCCTCTCCTCTCCTGTCTCCTTGGGAGCAGCAGGCCCATTAGCCCTATCCTCAATCCCATCACCCATTGTCAACTGAATCCTTGGGTACAGCCCCTGTTGGCACAGATAGGGAGCAACACAGACACACATGCACACAAACGTGAACGAGGATGCATGTGCACACACACACATGTGCACACACACACAAACACAGACACACACACAGACACACACGCACGTCCATACACACATGTGCATACACACCCTGAGTGCTCTTCTAATGTCCTAATGTCCATCAAGCCTCTACGCTCAACAGACCTTATCTCTTTCTGCTCAAGCCAGTGTGTGTGTGTGTCTCAGGGTTTCCGTTAGCCGGTAATTGCCGCCCTTATGGCAGATAAAAACTATTAAAAGCCAATAAATAAAATTGTTGCTGGCCAAATTGACCGTGAGAAAAAACAATCCCATGGCAAAATAATGTTTTTATTCATTGATGGAAATATCAGTCGATGGAAATACATTTGACCATCATGCTTATTGGTCTATGGGTACATTTGCTGAATTTAGTGGAATTAAATTGGGGCATCTTTATTTTCATTAGTCATCATGTATCTTATGTATTACCCGTGCACAGCATACAGAGAGCCTACTCACCTCAGCACTAGAGCTGCTGCAGCTCCTCAGCTTGTTGCTGCTTGAGTGGTGCAGTGCTAGCTGTGGTGCAGTGCTAGCTGTGGTGCAGTGCTAGCTGTGCCACTAGAGATCCTGGTTCGAATCCATGACCGGGAGACCCATGGGGCGGCGCACAATTGGCCCAGCGTCGTCCAGGGTAGGGGAGGGAATGGCCGGTAGGGATGTAGCTCAGTTGGTAGAGCATGGCGTTTGCAATACCAGTGTTGTGGGTTCGATTCCCACGGGGGGCCAGTATGAAAAAATATATATATATGTATGCACTCACTAACTGTAAGTTGCTCTGGATAAGAGTGTCTGCTAAAATGATGTAAATGAAACATGCTTTTAAAAGCCCAGCAATTCTAAATGTAATTGCGTGCTTAAAACAGTTTTGATGGCCTGGATTAAAAAGAGCTACTATTTTTATTTCTCAACTGGTAATTGAAGCACGCTTCCCATTCGCCATTCAAGTGCATAGGCAACGGTAGGTAGGCAGGCGGAAGCAGTATGCATTTTGAAAACATATACTTGAAACGTGGAGGCAATTATTTTATAAAGACTTCCTCATATGCCATGGAAACAAGTGTTTCTCTCCTGTTCTATTGGTTTTCATATCAACTTTCTTTCATTGTCCAGAAGCCAAAGGCACAATCATAGTCATATTAGCAACCCATCATAGTTGTTGCATTTCTTTAGTTTTTAATAGATATTTTCATCTCTGTCACATGTGGAACCGCTCGCATCAGGTGCGCTGTTTAGAATGGTGTTTTTCTTGCCAATTGCATTTTGGCAAATGTTTGAAAATGACATTTTATTGGCTGCTTCATTACAGGAGTTGCGTGTTCTGTTAAGATGAATTACCATAATCTAAATGTGATTTCTGTCATTCTGAGCATCGTGGTTGGACGCCCTAATCGGTTACGCACACAATGCATATGATTCCAGTAAATTAAAATATTTCCGGTCACGTTATCCAGCACCACGTTTTCCTAATGGAAACCCTGGTGTACGTGTGTGTGTGTGTGTGTGTGTGTGTGTGTGTGTGTGTGTGTGTGTGTGTGGGGTCAGCCTAACTGTGGTCAGTAACCGCAGATGGGAAGTGTCTCCTTCAAATGAATGGTTTAGTTTAGTCATCCCTACTGCTCCTTTCAGCTGCCATTTTAACTTTCCATTCCAAGCTAAATGGTCGCTATGGGTGTTGTCATGCAGAGTGTAGGACTCTGCACCTGCCTACTGTTAGTAGAGCCTTTGTCATGTCAACGTTATGGAAACACTAAAGATGGCTGGCTGCAAGACTATTTAGTCTGACCTCTCTACCCCCCTCTACACCCCCCTCTTTCTCTCTACCCCCTCTCTCAACCCCCCCTCTTTCTCTACCCCCTCTCTCTACCCCCCTGCTCTCTCTACCCCCACCCCCCCCTTCTCTACCCTCCCCCTCCTCTCTCTCTACCCCCCCCATTCTCTACCCCCCCCTCTCTCTACCCACCCCCCTTTCTCTACCACCCCCTCTACTCCTACCTCCCCTCTCTCTCTACCCCCTACCCCCTCTCTCAACCCCCCCCTCAACCTCCCCCTCTCTCTCACCCCCTCTCTCTACCCAGCTCTCTACCTCTACCCCCCCTCTCCCTCTCTACCCCCTCGCTCTACTCCCCTCTCGCTCTCTACCACCGCTTCTCTACCCCCTTCTCTCTCTACCCCTCTCTCTCTTCCCTCTCTAAACCCCCCTCCCTCTCTAGACCCCCACCTCTCTCTTCTACCCCCCCCCCCCCCCCCCCCTACACCCCCCCCCCACCCCCCCCCCCTCTACCCTGCCCCCCCTCTCTAAAACCCCCGTCATTTCTTCGCTCTCTCCTTTCGCTTCTCAGGACGTTGTGTTTCTTCGCCCCTCGCCTGCCGCATCAAACAAGCGTATCCATCCCAGCTTGTGCATGGGCAACCACGAGCTGTACATGCGCCGCCGCAAGCCAGACACCATCGAGGTGCAGCAGATGAAGGCCCAGGCCCGCGAGGAGAAACACCAGAAACAGATGGAGAGGTGTGTGCGTGTCTGCGCTTGTGTGTGTGTGAATGTGCGTGTGTGTGTGTGTGTGTGCGCATGCTTGTGCGTGTTTATGAGTTTAGAATAGGGGTGGCCAACTCTCCTCCTGGAGAACTACTGTATGTGCATGCTTTTGCTCCATCCCTACACAAACAGACCTGATCAGTTTCAGAATATCACTCACAAAAAGGGATATATTGTATCCCACTTCACATGATCAGAGTTGTCCAGAGTAGCAAAAATGTGCCGTTAATCATATCTTAGCATGTATCTCTTGCTCCAAAGCTTAGCACGCTCTTCATTATAGCAAGACATGCTCAGCACCTTTGTAGGCTTCACAGGTACATGAAGTACTGCAGCGCTAGGTCACTAGCATAACTAGATTAATCCCAGCGTAGCACTGATGATTCAATAGCATGACTTCATTCTGGGATGAGTGAAGCGACCTGAAGACAAGGTTGTGGGAGCTGTCTGCCGGTGCTGTCTCTGCTAGTGTCAGCTGGACAGTATCGTCTCTGCACAGATGTTCAAACAACATGTAACACAGTCATTCATTACGCTGGACATGGCCAGGGTCTGTCACAATCACCTGTAGGACTTTCTTTATACGGTAACCTAACCCTAACCCTAACCCTACACGGGAACCTAACCCTACACTGGAACCTAACCCTAACCCTACACTGGAACCTAACCCTAACCCTACACTGGAACCTAACTCTAACCCTACACTGGAACCTAACTCTAACCCTACACTGGAACCTAACCCTAACCCTACACTGGAACCTAACTCTAACCCTACACTGGAACCTAACTCTAACCCTACACTGGAACCTAACCCTAACCCTACACTGGAACCTAACTCTAACCCTACACTGGAACCTAACCCTAACCCTACACTGGAACCTAACTCTAACCCTACACTGGAACCTAACCCTAACCCTACACTGGAACCTAACTCTAACCCTACACTGGAACCTAACCCTAACCCTACACTGGAACCTAACTCTAACCCTACACTGGAACCTACCCTAACCCTACACTGGAACCTAACTCTAACCCTACACTGGAACCTACTCTACCCTACACTGGAACCTAACTCTAACCCTACACTGGAACCTAACTCTAACCCTACACTGGACCTAACCCTAACCCTACACTGGAACCTAACCCTAACCCTACACTGGAACCTAACTCTAACCCTACACTGGAACCTAACCCTAACCCTACACTGGAACCTAACCCTAACCCTACACTGCCAACCCTCAACAATAAAGGGAAAGGGTGTCATTGTATCGCTAGTGTAGATTCTTTAACCAGCTTATTTAACATCACTGAACAAACTACAAAGGGTATCTGTAGAATGACAGTTTATGCCTGCTACATTGTGCCCCCAAATGTGTTTGCTTGCTTTGTGTGTGTGTGTGTGTGTGTGTGTACAAAGGATGTGTCTCTACTCAATGTGTGTAAAATCAGTGTGTGTGTACAAAGTATGTGTCTCTACTCAATGTGTGTAAAATCAGTGTGTGTGTGTGTGTACAAAGTATGTGTCTCAACTCAATGTGTGTCAAATCTGTGTGTGTGTATGTAGAAAGTATGTGTCTCTACTCAATGTGTGTAAAATCAGTGTGTGTGTGTAGAAAGTATGTGTCTCTACTCAATGTGTGTAAAATCAGTGTGTGTGTGTGTGTGCCCTCACACACAGCGAGAGGGGCCAGTGGCCCCTGAGTGGTTGTTAGTTTATTAGTCAGCACACGTCAGCCTCTCTTTGTGTCTCACACCGGCCCTCTCTTATCTGCAGGGCCCAGCTGGAGAACGAGAAGAAGAAGAGGGAGGCCATAGAGAAAGAGAAGGAGCAGATGGAGAGAGAGAAGCAGGAGCTGATGATGAGACTCTACCAGTTTGAGGAGAAGACCAAGAAGGCAGAGAAAGGTAGGACCGGGGAGAACAGGGTCTGACTGGGGAGGACACTAGGGTCAACCAGAGCACATTTATCACCTAAATGTAGGGAGACGTGTGTGTGTGTGTGTGTATGTGTGTGAGAGAAAGAGAGACAGAGAGTGTGTGTGTGTGTGTGTGTGTGTGTGTGTGTGTGTGTGCTGCATTTTCATGCCGCATTAAATAAAATAGCCTAAAACAGTAACGATATTTGAGAACATCGCGCTCAGTTGACAACAATTTGCATTGAAATAGTTCAAACATTCTGGTCTATTTTACTGGAAGTAGTAGTATACAGGTAGCCTTGTGCTATGTGTGACTTATGTCCTGGTGGACCCCAGATAGCCCGGCGGGATTGTTTCTGCAGGGTTAGATATCAGCTATCAGGCTGATAAGGCATTTACTGACCGTCAAGGCTTCCTCATCGACCTTTGTTTGTAACCCTATATACATGGGTCATATTCATTAGACATCAACGGGAAGAAAAGCTACTAAAACAGGGAGGGACTACCTGAACGTGTACAATAAGAAATGCTTGTTTTCGTTTTCCGTTGCAAAACATTTCCTGCAATTTCTCCATATTCAGTCTAGCCGATAGCGTATACCGCCTCTCGGATTTACTTAACAGGATTATTATTGTATTATTATTGCCATGATTACACAGACTATGTGAATTAATGAGGAGGCGGAACACACCTTAATTCAAACTGTTGTTAGAAAATACAACTTGTTAGAAAATAATTTGAAATTGACAAGTTGAAACATAGCCTATAGATAATTAGCAGGCATCGCGTGTTAACTGTCCTGTTGTGTAACAATCACATGTTGGAACAGTGAGTGCATTCTGACATCACCTGCATAAAACAACTCACGCTGGGGGGCGACTATTTGGAACTCACGTGTGAAAAGGTTAAACCAACATCTCTGAAACCACATTAGTTTCAAGTTTCATATTTTATTTGTCACATGCACAGTGGAATGCTTAACTTGCAAACCCTTCACAACAGTGTTCAATATTCAATATATTCTATTCAATATTCAATCATTAACATGCATTAGCAATATTCTTAGATGTGCGGCTCTTCTGCAAAATCATTCAGTATGTGTGTGTGTCGTGTGTATGATTTGTGTCTTCTCTGTCTCTCTGTGTATCAGCTGTGTGTGTACGTGTGTCTTACCTCTCTCGTTCGATCTCTCTCTCTTTCTATCTCTATCTCTATCTCTCTCTTTCTATCTCTATCTCTATCTCTCTCTTTCTATCTCTCTCTTTCTATCTCTCTCTCTCTTTCTATCTCTCTTTCTATCTCTCTTTCTATCTCTCCCTCTCTCTGTCTCTCCCCCCCCCCCCCCCCTCTCTCTCTCTCTCTCTCTCCTCTCTCTCTCTCTCCTCTCTCTCTCTCTCTCTCTCTTTCTCTCCCCATTCTCCTCTCTCTCTCTCTCTCCCCTTCTCTCTCTCTCCCCCTTCTCACTCTGGCTCTCTCTCTCTCCTCCCCTCTCTCTCTCCTCTCCAGACCTCCAGGAGCAGATGCAACGTGCCACGCAGCTGGAGGTGGAGAGGAGGCTGGCCGAGGACGAGGCGGCCCGCCTGGAGGCTGAGCGTCAGGCCGCCCTGCTGGCCAAAGAGGAGCTGGCCCGCCACGCCCAGGACCAGATGCACAACCAGGAGCAGCTGGTGAGAACCACCACACAACCATTGTACAACCATGTTATAACATGTCACAACCCCCATAACCTTACTGTACTGTACAATAATGCTACCATGTCACAGCAAATTGAAACCCCGCTATAACCTACTACACTGTACTATACTGTACAATTCTGAAGTTGATGTATCTGTGACAAAAGACTGTGTTAGCCTGCTGAGCTTAAGCCTAGGCAGCACCTCTTTAACATGTACAACTCCAAACCACACCTCACTGCAGCGCACTGTGCAGAGCTGAAATGAACTCCTCTATGCAGCACTGAAGACTGCGCCTCTCTAGACCAAACCTTACTGTAATAATGTCCTCACCATAGTAAAACTGGACTGCAATCTATTATGCCAGACAGTGTCCACCCCACCCCACCCTGCTCTGCACCCTGCTTTGCTCTGCATCAGACCACACACAGGTCACTTTACCAGACCTGACAGTAAACCTGTAGTCCAGGGTGAAGGCAATTGACAGTGGAACACTGAGGCTGTTTTTATAGGGACACGTTGGACAACAGCCACTCTGAACCAACCCCATAACAGAGCAATGTGTCATGATAAACAGATAAAGACACCAGACATTAAGACACTATAGTCTCTGCAAAGAAACGGAATGTAGGATACGCTACAAGAGTTGCTCTAATGGGGCTTTCCTCAAACATGTATTGCCTCGCTATGACCCCATATATACCATAGGCACCACTGGTATGAACATTGCAACATGATCTACTGTTTCTCTCAAAATCTCCTCAGCTTTAACTAGGTACACTGGAGGCTCCAGTGACTAAGCAGCAGTCTAGCCTAGCAACCTGTTGACTATTTTCAATAGAGGCTGTGTTGGCCCTTTTCCCAGCTGAACACACTTCACAGAGGTGTTTTATGGTCAAGTATCCCCACTGTGTGTGTGTGGTGCTTTTGTGCTGGGCTTTGTGTGTGTGTGTGTGTGTGTGTGTGTGCGTGTGTGTGTGCAGTATTTACCGTCCCAGACATCACACGCACGCTGCGAACAACAAAAGCAGACTTACTTAGCCCTACAATAAGCACTGAGCACTGCACTCTACTCTGATGTACTCTACTGCAGGTCTCTCTGCTCTCTGGTACCATGGTGGATCTACTATATGGCCCACACCATTGAGTTAGAAAGAGGACTCTAGATGGATATAACCCGTTTTAATGGTGCTGCCCATGCTTTCACAGATGCCAGATTGGCACAGATACAAAGATGAGTCCTCTATCTAACTCTATGGCCCTGAAGTCATTATACCTCATCACCAGATTATTAGCCCCAGCACATGTTGAGACAGACTGGACTCTGGCCAGCCCCAGCATATGTTGAGACAGACTGGACTCTGGCCAGCCCCAGCACATGTTGAGACAGACTGGACTCTGGCCAGCCCCAGCACATGTTGAGACAGTCTGGACTCTGGCCAGCCCCAGCACATGTTGAGACAGACTGGACTCTGGCCAGCCCCAGCACATGTTGAGACAGACTGGACTCTGGCCAGCCCCAGCACATGTTGAGACAGACTGGACTCTGGCCAGCCCCAGCACATGTTGAGACAGTCTGGACTCTGGCCAGCCCCAGCACATGTTGAGACAGACTGGACTCTGGCCAGCCCCAGCACATGTTGAGACAGACTGGACTCTGGCCAGCCCCAGTACATGTTGAGACAGACTGGACTCTGGCCAGCCCCAGTACATGTTGAGACAGACTGGACTCTGGTCAGCCCCAGCACATGTTGAGACAGTCTGGACTCTGGCCAGCCCCTGTACATGTTGAGACAGACTGGACTCTGGTCAGCCCCAGTACATGTTGAGACAGACTGGACTCTGGTCAGCCCCAGTACATGTTGAGACAGACTGGACTACTCCGCCCTGTACTGCTCTCTGCTTCTCTTTTCTCTCTTCTGGAAGGTGACTTATACATCTCTGTCCTAATGTTCACTTTTTACTCAAAATGTCCAGCCCTTAATTAAAACCTGTAGCCCTCCACACTGTCCCCTCCACACTATCCCCTCCACCCCTCTCTGTCTCTCCATCCCTTCCCACAGACCTGTAGTATTTTGTCTACTGTACCCAAACTGTCCTCCTCCTTGTCTGTCCCAGATGTTTAAGTCCTCACCTATTTCCCTCCTCTCCTCTCTCCTCTGTTCTCTGTATCAGGCTGCGGAGCTGGCCGAGCACACAGCCAGGATCGCCCTGCTGGAGGAGGCCAGGAGACGCAAGGAGGAGGAGGCTGATACATGGCAACACAGGGTGAGTCACACACACACACACACACACACCCACACACACACACACATGAACAAACGCATGCGCGCATATGTACGCACACACAAGCACGCACAATTGGATGCATACACACACACACACATGCACACACACAATCAGGGCTCTATTAAATCAGATCCGCTTTAGCCGGTGTTGGAGGTGGAACTGTGTTAGAGCTGTCAGATCCAAGTGGCTCCTGGTATTATACCTAAAGAGGACATTTTCATTGGCTGCATGGTGTCGCATTAAGAGAAATCCCATGTAGCCTTGAATACAAGTTGGAACACTGGAATGTGAGATGTAATCTACACCTAGATTAGGCTGATAGAAATCCGTATTATTTCTATATAGCCTACACTTTCTGGTTCTGAACTTCTAACGAGAGTGGGACGGGTGTGGCTTCGTGACAATGAACAAGGGCAGCTGCTCACCGATTTGACAGCACCAACACAGTTACACCAACGCCAAGATATCAGCTATGCGATATCGCCGGTTAACACTCGATCTGATTGAACCTATGTCACCTAGTCACTTAACTGTATTTACTCTACCATTGATATGGAATCACTTTTTTTCTGTGGCTCAAGATCAGAACAGGTTGTATTGTAATGTGGGGCATTCCATAGTGTTCTGTAATAGTAAACCTCTCCCTGTCCTCCCACCCCACCCCCTCAGGCTCAGGAGGCCCAGAACGACCTGCTGAAGACCAAGGAGGAGCTGCAGATGGTGATGACGGCCCCTCCTCTGGCGCCCCCTCCCCCCATGTTTGTGGAGGTGCCCATGTTTGTGGACAACCACGACGTTTTGATGGTGGAGGAGCAGAACGACCACGACAGCGAGAACAACAGCACGTACAGCGCCGACCTGCAGAACGAAGGCTTTAACGACCACCGCCGAGAGGAGGAGCGCCTCACCGAGGCCGAGAAGAACGAGCGTGTGCAGAGGCAGCTCATGGTAAGAGAGATTAGTCGTGCGAGTTTGCAGGGATTGTTTGGTTGCTTAATGGGTTGAGTGATCGATTGATCACTTGATTGATTGTTTAAATAATTAATGAATTAAATCATTCAGTCTTGAATTGTATATTACTGATAGAAAAGCAACCTATATTCCCTCTCTTACTGTCGTTTTAATCGTTAAGAAAAAATCACTAACCGAAAAAAAATGTTTTTTTTTCTTCCACAAGATTTACATCACAGTGCAGTTATCACAAAACTATTACTAACAGGTCCTGATCATCATCATAAAGGGAACATTTTTAATTAAACAAATAGCTAATGCAACAATGATGTTTATTTGCAAATTATGGTGGAAAATAAGTATTTGGTCAATAACAAAAGTTTCTCAATACTTTGTTATATACCCTTTGTTGGCAATGACACAGGTCAAACGTTTTCTGTAAGTCTTCACAAGGTTTTCACACACTGTTGCTGGTATTTTGGCCCATTCCTCCATGCAGATCTCCTCTAGAGCAGTGATGTTTTGGGGCTGTCGCTGGGCAACACGGACTTTCAACTCCCTCCAAAGATTTTCTATGGGGTTGAGATCTGGAGACTGGCTAGGCCACTCCAGGACCTTGAAATGCTTCTTACGAAGCCACTCCTTCGTTGCCCGGGCGGTGTGTTTGGGATCATTGTCATGCTGAAAGACCCAGCCACGTTTCATCTTCAATGCCCTTGCTGATGGAAGGAGGTTTTCACTCAAAATCTCACGATACATGGCCCCATTCATTCTTTCCTTTACACGGATCAGTCGTCCTGGTCCCTTTGCAGAAAAACAGCCCCAAAGCATGATGTTTCCACCCCCATGCTTCACAGTAGGTATGGTGTTCTTTGGATGCAACTCAGCAGTTGAGTTTTTACCAAAAAGTTATATTTTGGTTTCATCTGACCATATGACATTCTCCCAATCCTCTTCTGGATCATCCAAATGCACTCTAGCAAACTTCAGATGGGCCTGGACATGTACTGGCTTAAGCAGGGGGACACGTCTGGCACTGCAGGATTTGAGTCCCTGGCGGTGTAGTGTGTTACTGATGGTAGGCTTTGTTACTTTGGTCCCAGCTCTCTGCAGGTCATTCACTAGGTCCCCCCGTGTGGTTCTGGGATTTTTGCTCACCGTTCTTGTGATCATTTTGACCCCACGGGGTGAGATCTTGCGTGGAGCCCCAGATCGAGGGAGATTATCAGTGGTCTTGTATGTCTTCCATTTCCTAATAATTGCTCCCACAGTTGATTTCTTCAAACCAAGCTGCTTACCTATTGCAGATTCAGTCTTCCCAGCCTGGTGCAGGTCTACAATTTTGTTTCTGGTGTCCTTTGACAGCTCTTTGGTCTTGGCCATAGTGGAGTTTGGAGTGTGACTGTTTGAGGTTGTGGACAGGTGTCTTTTATACTGATAACAAGTTCAAACAGGTGCCATTAATACAGGTAACGAGTGGAGGACAGAGGAGCCTCTTAAAGAAGAAGTTACAGGTCTGTGAGAGCCAGAAATCTTGCTTGTTTGTAGGTGACCAAATACTTATTTTCCACCATAATTTGCAAATAAATTCATAAAAAATCCTACAATGTGATTTTCTGGAGAAAAAAAATCTCAATTTGTCTGTCATAGTTGACGTGTACCTATGATGAAAATTACAGGCCTCTCTCATCTTTTTAAGTGGGAGAACTTGCACAATTGGTGGCTGACTAAATACTTTTTTTCCCCACTGTATAGATTCAAATCTAGATCCAGATCTTCAACAGCTTGTTGTCCGCTTGTTCACTCATGTCCTTGGCATGTTCCTCCCTTGTTGACTTCTTCTTGACTCATCGTGTTGTTCCTCCTTGCAGGCCCTGAGCTCAGAGCTGGCCCAGGCCCGCGACGACACTAAGCATACCCAGAACGATCTGCTACACACGGAGAACGTGCGCGCCGGCCGGGACAAGTACAAGACCCTGCGGCAGATCCGATCGGGCAACACCAAGCAGAGGATCGACGAGTTTGAGGCCTTATAAGAGGACCCCTCCCCAGAGGCCACGAGGGCCACACAGCCACGTACCCTTTCTGAATGGTCACTGAACTAATCCCTCCACTGCTACACACACACACACACACACACACACACACACACACACACACACACACAGGAGCAGTATAAAGAGAGTGAGTGATACACACATCTGCATCACCACTTTTACCAGTTCCCCCTTACATTGAGGTAACTTACTCCTGTAAAAAGGCTTTTCAAATTCTTGTAAGAAAACTTACTAGTGCCAAAATATATATATTATTTTCTTTTAGCATAACAAATCTTCTTTCTGTTTTGATTGTATGCAATCAGACAAAATCACTCACCATTGTTTTTAACCAGAGGTGTGATGATGAGTAGTGGGACTAGACAATTATAGTACGCCATGATGTGCACATGATAGACATCAAGTACAGCCAATCAGAGCCTTGCTTTTTGGTGTTTCTTAAATGTGGTGTCAACGTTGAAAAAGGGCAATTCTTTCTCACAGGGACCACTCAGAAAGGGGAACATACAGTATATTGAAACTTTTACTCTTACTCACAGAAAAGTGTACTATGTTCAGTTTCATTGTGTTTTTCCATAATATTTGGAACACTTTCGTTTATGTTTAATATTGCTCTACAGTAGCTGGGAAATCATGAATAGTTTAATATTCATACGATATATGGGTCATTTAAAAAAGGGTTATTTCCTCTTGGTTTGTATATTTCTGCTATTCTACTAATGATCACAAGAACATTTAATATGTATCAAAGGTTCTATATCAACCAAAATAATGATAGTTTTGTGTTCCATAAGGTTTTCTTTTAGATCACTAAATTAAAGAGATTTATTTGTAAATTATTACTTCATTTTTTTTTTTTTTTACTTTAGAAAATATTCCACTGTATGTCATCAAATCCACATAATGAGATCCTATAGGTAGCTAGCAGCATTTTGTTATGCAGTTCACCGTAGCTAGCAGAATTTTGTCATGCAGTTCACCGAGCTAGCAGCATTTTGTTAGGCAGTGTCACGTAGCTAGCCAGCAATTTTGTCATGCAGTTCCCGTAGCTAGCAGCATTTTGTCATGCAGTTCCCCGGAGCTAGAAGATTTTGTCATGCCAGTTCACCGTAGCTAGCAGCATTTTGTATGCAGTCAAGGTGGGCTAGCGCATTGTATGCAGTTCACCGTAGCTAGCAGCATTTTGTCATGACAGTTCACCGTAGTAGCAGCATTTGCATGCAGTTCACCGTAGCTAGCAGCATTTTGTCATGCAGTTCACCGTAGCAGCAGCATTTTGTTCATGAGTTCACCGTAGCTAGCAGCATTTTGTCATGCAGTTCAACGTAGCTAGCAGCATTTTGTCATGCAGTTCACCGTAGCTAGCAGCATTTTGTCATGCAGTTCACCGTAGCTAGCAGCATTTTGTTATGCAGTTCACGGTAGCTAGCAGCATTTTGTTATGCAGTTCACCGTAGCTAGCAGCATTTTGTTATGCAGTTCACCGTAGCTAGCAGCATTTTGTCATGCAGTTCACCGTAGCTAGCAGCATTTTGTCATGCAGTTCACCGGTAGCTAGCAGCATTTCCAAGGCATACGTGCATCTTCTCCAGGAGCAAAGTGCTTATACAAAAACACTTAGGGCTCTATTCAATCTGTATCACTGAAGCGTTACAGATTGCGTTTTAGAAACGTAAAGGTAATCTCCGATTGAGCCGACACATGCAGCATTTAGCGTGAATGCAGTCTCCGCTAACGCGGGAACATTACCTTTACATTTAAATCACGCTGTAACGCTGAATTTCTACAATTCAGATTGAATAGAGCATAATTTTTCCTTCTCTCTTTTTTTCTGTTTATGTTCCCGTGAAGGGAGGGATGAGAGGAGGATGTGTTTATTCTAAATGTTATGACGTCACCTAGCGAACAAAACTGGTTGATATTATGTTTATGACATCATTTCAACCAGTTTTGCCCGCTGGGCACACATTTGTGGATTGTAACCCCACGAGATACCTTTTACTGTTGGATGTCCCTCTGGAGCCCCTGTAGGCTGCAGCCCCAGTCTCGCCATTCCCTCTATCTGGATGTGTACTAGACTAGTTTTTACTGACACTATAACCAAAACAACGACACACAGCGCTGCCTCTGGCCCGCTGTTCTTTATTCAAACTGGATTTTATAAATGAGGTGTTCAGCATATTGGCAATAAAGATCTCCTATGATTTCAACTTTGTACTGTGTTTTCACTTTCTGCTTTTTAATCTTCTGACTTGAGGGAAAAACTTTAACTAGGGTTTAACTACAGGTTACAGAAACTCATAAAGAGAAAGGACAAGAAGAAACTGTAAGGGAAAGAATGAAAGACAACCACAAGTTTTCTTGTGTTGTAGACAGTCACTTTCTCACAGATATTTGATGACTCTCATTCATTCAATGTTATCAGGTGAGCATGCTTAAAGCACAAGGGATATTCCCCTCAAATTACAACTTAACATGATTTTCCACCTTAATGCCTTAGTTGTAGGCCATTTCCCAAGGAAAGTGGAATAATCATGTTGGGTTGTATTTTGAGTAGAACATCCCTTTAATACATAAAAGGTCATCAAATGTAACATAAATAGCTAATAGGAGGGACTTTCACAAAGCAAGAGACCGACGGTCAGTGCAAATAGAGTTAAAGGTAGAGTAGGGGCTCTATTCAATCTGTATTGCTGAAGCATTACACATAGTCATGTAAAAGTAATTTCATATTGAGCCGATATCCGCAACGTTTACCGTAAATGCAGACTCCGCTAATGCGGGAGCATTGCCTTTAAATTTCAATCACGCTGTAACGCTGAATTTCTGCAGTACGGATTGAATAGAGCCCTTAAAATGCTGATGTCTTTCTTGTGGGGAGACAGTGTCCAGTCCAGGGGCTTTTTTTTCCTGTTGACTCTGATGACATCATCATGTTCTCCTGCTGTTGATGTTGGCTTGCATGGGTAAACTGAAGTCATGCCACATGTTGGGCGTCTGCAGCACCAGTTGCCATGATGACCCTGGGAGACATGTGGTTAACAGAGAGTGCCAGGTCAGTGACATCATCAGTCCTTCCTTATATAATATAATATAATATGCCATTTAGCAGACGCTTTTATCCAAAGCGACTTACAGTCATGCGTGCATACATTATTATTTTTTTGTGTATGGGTGGTCCCGGGGATCGAACCCACTACCCTGGCGTTACAAGCGCCGTGCTCTACCAGCTCAGCTACAGAGGACCACCCATTCCTTGCTTCCTCTCACAAAGATATATTTTTTTTTATATAGTTCTGTGAAACCAGACTGCACTAAACTGAGTCCATCACAGCGAGAGACAGAGAGAGAGACAGAGAGAGAGAGAGAGAGAGAGAGAGACAGAGACACAGAGAGAGAGACCGAGAGAGAGAGAGAGAGAAAATATGCTGAGGAGAAAGAGCCCTCAATACCCTGAGAGTGAAATAGGTGAAACCCGTTTCCTCAGATGGCTTTCTCTAAATTCCATTAGTGTGAAATATGACATTTGTGCTCTTGTTAATTCAATTCTCATTGACGTTTGACTCAGACTGTCTGGCATTTTAGACAACTGGAGTTGGTATTAGATAAAGTAAACACATTTTAAGAATTTAAAAACAAATAATGTATGTTGTATCTCATCTCGAGCCCCCTTGAATGGGCCTGGTCAAACTTTTCTATTTAGACCATTTCATTTTCATGCAAACGGATTAAAATCTACTGTATAGTTGTAAAGGTATAACAGTCATTGAAAGACTGACAGACAGCCATATTACCGTCTTCCATTCTGACCCAGCCCAGGAGGCGGTCTGAGAAGGTAAAGGGGGCGTGGTCCCAGAGGTCCAGCTCCAGAGTGCTGATCTGGAGGTCGTAGGGCGTGACCCTGCTGAAGAGCAGCTGGTGAGACCACTCTGGACTGGGATTCTTCAGGACAGGGGTCCTCTGGACAAGCTCCCTGGGCCCGGGGAGAGCCAGGCACCTAAAATACAAAAATAAATAAACATATAGTTGTAAACACACACACGCACAAATGTACGCATAGATACATAAACACACACCAGAACACACACACACAACACACCTAGAACAGACAGTCTAATAACAATATCACACCCCAGCAAACACACACACTAATCATACGTTTACCCTTTCACATAGGTGTTCTGACTGGTGTTTGCTTTAGTGGGCAGGTTTTTGGCACCATTGACGAGAACAGTCAGTTGACCAACGTCATGTGGTCCAATATGAACCTCTGTGAGGAGGAACAAAAGACATCAAGGTCATTTCAATCCAATATAAGGATCGTCTGACGCCTAGTGCTGTAAAAACACTGTAAACTGTTTCAAAATGAGGTCTTATTTATTAGGCATCAAACGGGCGAAAACAGAATAAAACAGGGATAAACTGAGATTTAAATGCTTTTGGTGCGTGAACGGTAGAGAGTCAGCTTACCATCTGTGTGGCAAACCCAGGACAGCTGGGACAAGGAGGTGAACTTCATTCTGACCAGCAGTTCTCCTGCTGTATCCTGCTCGACTGCACTCCCTTCTGGACTCTCAGGCTATTGACCAAGTGAGAAATAATAGTGAGACAGAGAGAGGACAGAGGAGACATACAAGCTAGTTGAACAAAACTTTTTCCTTAACCAAAAATATTGTTTTATAAAGATACCAAAGGGTATTGTGTGAATGTTGCTTCATGATCAGCAGTTATACCCTACCTTGGGACACAGGCGGTACCAGTTGGAGCCCTGGGTGGCGCTCTCCTCAAATATAGACCCCTCCAGCGGGACGAGGACCTCTCCTAGGAACACTTTCTTCTTCAGGGTCCCACAGTGCCACACAGACACCTGCAGAGTACTCCTGGACAACAGGGGGCTCTCCATCTGGCACTGTGCATCAGGGAATAAAACACATGGGTGGGTGAAACACAGGATATTTCATTGCCATGTAGCCTATTTCACTCAATAATAATAATAATATGCCATTTAGCAGACGCTTTTATCCAAAGCGACTTACAGTCATGTGTGCATACACTTTTAAGCCAGTTCAGGGTATTCTTTAGACACCAATTTGAAGCTTGTTTTGATTTTCAGTTGAAAAAGTTTTTGCTATGTTTTGTAGTGTGTCCTAATGAACATGACCCAGATTTGTCTCCTTACCTGTAAAATTTCATTATAAATGGGATCCGTTGTGTTCCTCTTGACGGTTGTCTTCAGTTTGTTGCTCTGAGACTTCTCCGGCAGTAGGTAGACCTTGACATACCTGCCCATGATGGTGACACATACAGTACAGGAGATCTAGTTTGCAAATGGATATATCAGTACAACAGAGAGTACAAATCTGGTATCAAAGACATAGAATTACTAGAATGGGCCTCCCCATTCAAGTCAGCATTCAATGATGGGTGGGCCTATTTCTATGATCTGGTGTATTGAGTAATAATGCTTACGGATGACACTTCTTCCTCTTGATGTCTCCATACGCAAGGTTTCTGCAGCCGTTGATTGTGATCTCCAGGCAGGAAGTGTTGTGGTTGAAGGCGATGGCGAGCTCTAGCTCCCCCGTCACTCTGTTGATCTCCAAGAGACCATAGTCTGTAGCAGTGCTACTAGCACTACTGCCCTGTAATATGATTATTTATTTTTTAATACAGATCAAAATGTCATATTGCCTCTTTAAAAGGATGTCATGACAACATATAGACAATGCAGGTCTATTCTGTAGTTAAGCATGCAGATGATTTGGATGCATTCCTTTCTAGCTTCTCCGCCAGCTACAAGACTATGCAGCTATGCAAGACATGTCCACATAACAACAATCCATATCTAATCATATGCCAAATAAATTGTGTAGTTTTGCACAAGTCCTTGTGTTGTTTATTTCTCCATCATCAGGCCACTCAACTCACCCTCTTTCCCCCTGAGCACTCTGAGCCCAGGGAATGGGCCTCATCGGCCCCTGATGAAAAACTGCTCTGGTCATCATTCCGGCTCTTCTTGAACAGGTTGGGAAGACTGGGGCCTTTGGTAAGCTGTGAGGAGAGATGTTGTGTCTGTTGAAATATAGTATACTTTTGTTCATATTCTAGTGAATTTGGGCAAAGAGCAACTGGTACTTGAACCCGGGTCCCTGCGTCTGTCAGTCCAACATCTTAGCCATTTCACCGAGAGGCTTGAACCTCTTGACAAGATGGCAATGTGTATTATTATTTAAGGTTGTTCCAATAGCTATTTCTAAAGTCTCCCTCTTTCCTGTCTGAAATAGTTGTCAGTGTCATACGATCAATATCTCACTTGGTTTTGAACATGTAGGTGGGGTCTCTTTGATTTTACCTCAGGGGTTTAGCGAAAAATGTATGTCTTGATAGTGTGATACTTTGACAAAGTCGAGGGGTTGATATGTATTTGGTTTCTCTTACATTGATGGATTTGTTGATGTTTGTGTCAGAGAGGCTTTTCCAGCCAGTGCTGTTGTCCACTGTAAGAAGATCCTGTTTCACTCGCACATCTTCTTGCGACCTGGAGAACCCTGCAACCCGAAAGGTGGGGCGAATAACACACACAGACCTTCTCCATCCGTAATGTAGCACTTCTGACGTGCTGCTTGCGAACAAGCTTCAATATAGATGTCATATCTTATCTTGTTTCCTAGGTGCGGTTTCCTAAGCACAAACGACTGATATCTTATCGACAAATTACGTTAAGGTCTGCGATAACGCTCAGAAGAAATTAGTCGCTGTTTTGACTTTCTTGGATCCTAGTTTTCACCAAGACATACTTAAAATGACTTCACATTGAAAGATCATATAGTTTTGTTTTTTCCAGAGACCTTTTATTTGTAAATACCAAAATGGCTCAAAATAGTCACTTACTTCTCATTTGGCTGGTGAGGGAAACCATCAGGTCCTCTATAGACTTGGTGAATGGTTTTTTAAAGGAATTCTTCAGTCCCTAGAGATCACCAAACCCCCAAATTACCAAATCATTGACAATACATCTGACAGACCAAGTCATAATTGTGGTTTATGAAACTGTGAAGGAGTGAGCCCTTCACAACTTATTTATTGGATAAAACAAGCTGTATGCAGAATCCCTTTCATTTTAACAATTCATCATTCCAGGCAATACTATAGCTACAATGTCAATTGCACCTCTTAGCAATTTTCAGACATCATGTTCAAATCATCTATAAGTGACTTTGTTGAGCTTCACAATCAATTTGAGATACTTTTGGATGATTTGGACATGATGCGCGAAAAATGCTATTATCTTGAGTGGGATTTGTGCCACAAATGCTAAAATGCTGGCATGTGGAAACAGTGCCAGGGAAACTTAACCAAAGCATGGATTGCTGTCATACCTTGTCCATAGACTGCTTACAGAGTAAGGAAACCAATGTCATTTTGTAATTTGGGTGAACTATCCCTTTAATTGGGTCTGTATCCTGATTATCTAGTTAATTGAGTGGCTGTTTGAACACAGGCGTGGTCCCTCTCACCTAATTATTGAAGGAACTGCCTTTAACAGCAGGTGTGTCATTGTTTGAGAGAGTCTTGTGTGTATAAGGTGAGACAGTTTTAGCCATACATTTTGTACCTTTTTACTTGGTTTATCCTGCCCTTTTACAATAAGTTAAGCATTTTTAGTTGGTTTTTAAAGCCTTTTAAGTGGTAGATCATTTAGATATCTTTATTTCACCTTACCCCTGATCTGCTGAAGGCTGGGCCATTGTAATAGGGTGGAGGGGTTGGCGGAACAACTGCTATGTGACTGGAAAGTGAAACACACAGGGAATGCTATTTCAAGTAATAGTCCAGGGTTTCCGCATTTCTATTAAACATGACCTATAATTCATTACAATATGAGTGAAATAGTTTTCCTTCCCAATTTTCTTTAAATTAAGTATGTTAAAAAGCAGCTTTTCTGTGTTTGAATGGTGTGGGTGTATACTGGTCGTTAAAAATATTCATAACAAGTAAACAGCTGATTGGCCAGCTCAGCCAATGAGACGTCTCAGCCAAAAATGTTACATCACGTTATATGAGGAAATAGCACAAAAAAAACAACTGTTTGAAGATATATATATATATATATATATATATATATATATTCTCACAAATGTATGCTTTGGCCACACAAGTATAGGATAAGTCAAAAACATTATTTGGGTATGACTTAACAGAATGAGCTTTTAAAAGTGAGATTTTCACTGGACAGTGTTTTGCCCACCAATTTCCGATGAAATGACATGTTTTTAAATATTGACAATGTACATACCTGCGTATATCTGTGTCTTATACAGTTGAAGTCGGAAGTTTACATACACTTCGGTTGGAATCATTAAAACTTGTTTTTCAACCACTCCACAAATTTCTTGTTAACAAACTATAGTTTTGGCAAGTCGGTTAGGACATGGCTTTAGAAGCTTCTGATAGGCTAATTGACATAATTTGAGTCAATTGGAGGTGTACCTGTGGATGTATTTCAACGCTTACCTTCAAACTCAGTGCCTTTTTGCTTGACATCATGGGAAAATCAAAAGAAATCTGCCAAAATTGTAGACCTCCACAAGTCTGGTTCATTCTTGGGAGCTATTTCCTAACGCCTGAAGGTACCACATTCATCTGTACGAACAATAGTATGCAAGTATAAACACCATGGGACCACGCAGCCATCATACCGCTCAGGAAGGAGACGCGTTCTGTCTCCTAGAGATGAACGTACTTTGGTGCGAAAAGTGCAAATCAATCCCAGAACAACAGCAAAGGACCTTGTGAAGATGCTGGAGGAAACAGGTACAAAGGTTTCTATATCCACAGTAAAACAAGTCCTATATCGACATAACCTGAAAGGCTGCTCAGCAAGGAAGAAGCCACTGCTCCAAAACCGCCCTAAAAAGCCAGACTACGGTTTGCAACTGCACATGGGGACAAAGATCGTACTTTTTTGGAGAAATGTCCTCTGGTCTGATGAAACAAAAATAGAACTGTTTGGCCATAATGACCATCGTTATGTTTGGAGGAAAAAGGGGGATGCATGCAAGCCGAAGAACACCATCCCAACCGTGAAGCACGGGGGTGGCAGCATCATGCTGTGGGGGTGCTTTGCTGCAGGAAGGACTGGTGCACTTCACAAAATAGATGGCATCATGAGGAAGGAAAATTATGTGGATATATTGAAGCAACATCTCAAGACATCAGTCAGGAAGTTAAAGCTTGGTCGCAAATGGGTCTTCCAAATTGACAATGACCCCAAGCATACTTCCAAAGTTGTGGCAAAATGGCTTAAGGACAACAAAGTCAAGGTATTGGAGTGGCCATCACAAAGCCCTGACCTCAATCCTATAGAAAATGTGTGGGCAGAACTGAAAAAGCGTGTGCGAGCAAGGAGGCCTACAAACCTGATTCAGTTACACCAGCTCTGTCAGGAGGAATGGGCCAAAATTCACCCAACTTATTGTGGGAAGCTTGTGGAAGGCTACCCGAAACGTTTGACCCAAGTTAAACAATTTAAAGGCAACGCTACCAAATACTAATTGAGTGTATGTAAACTGACCCACTGGGAATGTGATGAAAGAAATAAAAGCTGAAAGAAATAATTCTCTCTACTATTATTATTCATCCATGGACTGCATACTCACCAGACATGTCACCCATTGAGCATGTTTGCGATGCTCTGGATCGACGTGAACAACAGCTTGTTCCAGTTCCCGCCAATATCCAGCAACTTCGCACAGCCATTGAAGAGGAGCGGGACAACATTCCACAGGCCACAATCAACAGCCTGATCAACTTTATGTGAAGGAGATGTGTCGCGCTGCATGAGGCAAATGGTGGTCACACCAGATACTGACTGGTTTTCTGATCCACACCCCAATTATTATTATTATTATTATTATTATTATTATTATTATTATTATTATTATTATCTTTATTTTTTTCAAGGTATCTGTGACCAACAGATGCATTTCTGTAATACCAGTCGTGAAATCCATAGATTAGGGCCTAATGATTTTATTTCAATTGACTGATTTCCTTATATGAACTGTAACTCAGTAAAATTGTTGAAATTGTTGCATGTTGCGTGTTTTTTTTTTGTTGGGTTAAATATAGAATAATCATATTTCCATGATTCCAACAGTTCACCAATTAACTAGGCCCATATCATGCTGCGTGGCACAGTGTGGAAATAATAAAAGTGCAGGAAATGATTTTTCTTTGGAAGTTGGATTGAACAGTGTAAACGGAGAAAGCCCCATTGAAATCACTTTGTTGCCACCCTAGGGTCATGAACTACTCATAAAGCATATTTAGAACTTTTATTATTAAAAACATAAAATACTGTCAAATACCGGCGTACTGTCAAAAATATTGTGATATGATATTTTGTCCATATCGCCGAGCCCTAGAGGGGCAGCTTGATTTTAACACCTTGGACCGTCACAAGATGTGTGGACCGCAGGGACCCTAGTAATGTATTTCCAACATGTTGTCTCAAATTCATGCGGAAAGGGAGAAGAATGGGGAAGGTAATACTTGGACTAGAGATCTAACATTCTAGGGGGAAAAACAGGGCCGTACTACCGCATTTGGGGGCCCCCACCCCCAACAATGTTGATATTTTCATGGGGAGCGGAGTGAAATCTGCTAACCACCTGCATTTGTACACATTTTGCCATGGTGGACAGAGAACAATTAGCAGTTTTAGAATGCTATTCTACACATTTTGTCATGAGGCTATGAAAATTTTGCAGTTTTAAAGCTAATTTCTTGCAATTCTACACTTTCTGCCATGGGGCAGAGAAGAACGTGTGCTGTTTTATAGCTCATCTCATGCTTTTGTTCACATTTTGCCATGAGGCTGAGAGAAAATGTTGCTGTTTAAAGCACATTTTCTACAATTCTACACATTTTTCTGTCATATGCTATCTGGGGGCCCGGGGCAAAAAGTAGTGTTGGAGCTATTCCATACATTCATACTGAATGCCCGGTACATTCAGTATGAAAACATGTATGCACTCACTAACTGCAAGTCGCTCTGGATAAGAGTCTGCTAAATGACTAAAATATAAATGTAAATGTAAAATGCATTATTCTAACATTTCACATTCTTAAAATAAAGTGGTGAAAATAAACTGACCTAAAACAGGGAATTTTTACTAGGATTAAATGTCAGGAATTGTGAAAAACTGAGTTTAAATGTATTTGGCTAAGGTGTATGTAAACTTTCGACTTCAACTGTATCTCTACCAGAGACTATGGTCACATAATACAGTAGTGTACAATAAATTATGACCGCCCATCGACTCACCTCAACCTCTGGTAAGACTTTAGTAGTTTCTCCCCAACAGTCTCATGCCTTTCTGTAAATTAAAAGAGTATTGCTATACCTGCCAAAACTAGTACACACACACTATTAAATATTACTCTCATGGACCCTCTCCCACTCTCCCGGGCAATGTCCTAGCAGACAGCAACAATGCATTATTCAGTCAAAGCAGTTCTCTAAACCATACACACATCAGAAGATGATGTAGAAGACCACTTTTAAATACCAAGCAAACAACTGAAACACATCTACCTGTATGATGTATGATGTATTAAAAATGTCATTTCATGAGTGCATAGTTTTTTCTTACTTTTTCGTACTGGCATTTTACTTATGAGAGAATTATGCATATGAATTATGAGTGAATAGGGCATGTGAGAAGTAAAGGAAACAAACCTGTGTCAGGTGGACATTTCTTGGCCCTTTCTTCCAGAAACCACTCCCCAGATCTGATCTTAACCTCCCTAAGAAGTGTGAAGAACTGGATTTTAGATTAATTGACCTTTCTTTACCAGGGCTGTTCAATTCCGGTCCTGGAGGGCTGAAACACTTCTGGTTTTTGTTTCTACCTGCTAGTTAATTGCACTCACCTGGTGTCCCAGGTCTGAATTAGTCCCTGATTAGAAGGAGAGGATGAAAACCAGAGGTGTTTCGGCCCTCCAGGACTAGGACTGAACAGCCCTGGTTTAGATTACAAAGGAAATACTGTACCTTTGGTCAGTTCATTCTCTCAACATGTTAACACGCCTTAAAACATTGAATAAAGGATAGAGGATACTAACAATAAAAAGGTTACAGCAGTCAATAAAGTCAATATTACAGTCAACCGCGTGTTATAGTGCTGACATGACAGTCTATGTTACAGTGCTGACATGTCAGTCTATGTTACGGTTCTGATATGCCTCCTACCTGTAGGCGTGGCAGATGGTACACTTCCAGTCCAGGGTGGACAAGCCCACTCGACACTGGTTGCAGACGCGGTGGCTGCAGCCTCGGCACACGGCGCCCGAGTTCCAGAACATTCCCAGCGGCCTCTGACAGCGGGCGCACGTCCTTTCGCTGTACTGCCGGGCAAAACTCTTGCCACCTTTCCTTCGGATCTCCTGTAGCTCTGTCTTCAGCCTCCTGTAACAGTAGATGGTGGCAGGTGGAGGTACAGCACAGGAGGTTGGTGGCAACTTAATTGGGGAGGACAGGCTTGTGGTAATGGCTGGAGCGGAATGAGTGGAATGGTACTAAACACATGGTTTCTATGCGTCTGATGCCATTCCGTTCCAGCTATCATTATGAGCCGTCCTCCCCTCAGCCACCTGAGATACAGTAATGATGGCAGTGTTTTAACAACTGTACTGAACTGCTCTTCGCGTCCACTTTTCCTGTCAGTTTTCCACTGGTAATTCATTCCAATTAAATGCATTATACTATTACTGATCAATGGTACAACAATTGTGAATACTATTTTGAGGAGCATTAGTTCACTGTTGTCATTGCCATTTTCACAGTCTCCACAGACCCTGATGTACCCTCTGAGTGGAGTTGTTATACAGTGTGTCCATGCAGTAAATGTGAAATGCTTGGCTAAAGTAAATTATATTGTCTACCTTATCCTGTCGTCGTCCGTGCTGCGTACAAGTTTGTCTCTCTGAAGAACCTCCAGAACCTTCTCTCTCTCCAGAGCCTTGAGCACCATCAGATCCATCTGGAAAAATGTTAGTTTCTTTCTTTCACTTCCTCTCTTCTCTCTTCCCCACTTTACATCTCTAGTCTCTCCTTTTCTCTCTCCTCCTTTTGTTCCACTCTCTGTCTCTTTTTATTGGGTGCCGGATGCTTCTACAAGCTGGACGACGCCTTCACTTGTTACCAGACTGAGGGCAGAATGAAGGTCGTGTTGATTTCATTGTACAGTCAGAGACATCCCGTCTCCCCGTCACGATATTCACAGAAGCTATTTTTTCACTACGCATCACAGACCTTGATGTGGATGGATCTTCTGATGTTTCTGCTCTGGTGACCATCACTACCTCTTATGCTCTGCTCTCTAACCCATTCATAGTTTGACCTATAGTCGCAGGGATTCTCTTCACAAAGTCCGATGACTGATGTTCACTTTGTTCACTAGAACAAGAAAAGAGCAACCAGTCAGTGAGTCATTGTAGCCCTCACAGTAATGCCCCACTCACTAAGACAGAACAGGGAAAGACCAACAGAATTACAATGCCATATGCGGTGCACAGGAGGTTGGTGGCTCCTTAGTTGGGGAGGATGGGCTCGTGGTAATGGCTGGAGCGGAATAAGCGGAATGCTATCAAATAAATCAAACATATGGTTTGATGCCATTCCATTCTCTCCATTCCAGCCATTATTATGAGCCGTCCTCCCCTCAGCAGCCTCCACTGGTGCTGTGTATAATGCTACAGTATCAAAGCCATCTGATAACTCCTGTACTGTACACTTGCCCTTAATGTCACAGCACTTTGCTCAGAATAGTAAATCCCATTTGGTCTGGCCACAGCGCCAACATGCACCGCTCCTCTCACAGCAAGCTGCCTACTGCTGCTACAGTAATGTAGTGATGCTCCAGTGAAGGCAGCACACACACACAAACACACACACACGCAACACACACACACACGCAACACACACACACGTTAACCAATGTCTCTCTTTTTCTTTTTTCCCTCTTTTCTCAGAGTGTATGAGAAAGAGGGGATGTGATGTGAAGTATGGTGAGAAAGAGGGGATGTGATGTGAAGTATGGTGAGAAAGAGGGGATGTGATGTGAAGGATGGTGAGAAAGAGGGGATGTGATGTGAAGGATGGTGAGAAAGAGGGGATGTGATGTGAAGTATGGTGAGAAAGAGGGGATGTGATGTGAAGGATGGTGAGAAAGAGGGGATGTGATGTGAAGTATAGGGCGGAGCACAATTGGCCCAGCGTCGTCCGGGTTTGGCCGGTGTAGGCCGTCATTGTAAATAAGAATTTGTTCTTAACTGACTTGCCTAGTTAAATAAAGGTTAAATAAAATAAATAAATGGTGAGAAAGAGGGGATGTGATGTGAAGTATGGTGAGAAAGGTGAAAGAGCCTCATCAGTGACTGGATGCCACTATGTGTTGTCTCTGCTATTATCCAGAGCAGCAGAGGGCCACTGTTAAACAATCAGTGTCAAATGTGATTAGTGGGGAAGCAGCAGCATCTTTATGACTGTGTCCCAAATGACACCCTATGACACCCTATACCCTACAGCCCTATGGGTCCTGCTCAAAAGTATTGCACTTAGATAGGGAATAGGGTGTCATTTGGGATGTATATTCTTTATGTCTTATAAAGAGAGTGGACAGGAGACACTGAATAGTTATCAGCCCTATATGCTTTTATTGGCCCAGTGCAGTCAAAATTAATATTGTACAACAGCTTATGAAACTAATACTGTAAAAGTTTATTTAAAAAAAAATCTGTGTTATTTCCTGATACTTGCTGGTTGAAAATACAATCTACAGGACCTTCTAATCAGCAGGTTTTGCATGGGTGGAGTTTTGGTATACTTTGTAATAGACCAAGAACAAAGAGAGTTCCAAACCTCTGCCAATAACAGATCGTTTTCAGTTTTCCCCTCCCCACTCAGACCACTCCCAGACAGCTCTAGCTAAATTCTTTTTTGAGAAAAAAACATTGGGCTGAAAAACGTTTTTATTTAGTAAGTTACTTACTTGTTACCGAGAAATGATTTAATATTTAGATAAAGATGGCTACAGTGGGCCTTTAAAGGCAGGCTGCACTTTGTTCATTAGTGGTCACACAGGCTTTTAGGCTGAGTTTACACAGCCAGCCCAATTCTGATTTTTTTCTCTCACTAATTGGTCTTTTGACCAATCAGATCAGCAATGAAAATGACCTAATTTACAAAAATCTGATGTGAAAAGATCTGATGTGATTGATCAAAAGACCAATTGGTGGGAAAAAAAAGATCAGAATGGGGCTGCCTGAGGCAGAGAGAGTGCAACAAGTTCCATGTATAATTAAAAGTAGCTCTTCCACATTGTTTCTCATCTGTGTGCGGGGGTTGAAGTTATGCTTATAAAAAATGTACGAGGTATTTTCAGGAGCTGTTTTTCAAATGCAGCATCAGCCTTCAGCCTAACAGTGCAACATTTCAGTGGCAAATGTCAGTCCATTTCTGACGGTCATATTAAACCTTTAAACTGTCATGGTGAAATGCACTAATTTCATGATTACCGGCGCTAGCATACCACCATGACAGCTTAAGTGTGGTTAATGGGGATGACGACTATGCTTGGTTAATGACGATGAGGACTATGCTTGGTTATTGGGGATGAGGACTATGCTTGGTTAATGGGGATGAGGACTATGCTTGGTTAATGGGGATGAGGACTATGCTTGGTTAATGGGGATGAGGACTATGCTTGGTTTAATGGGGATGAGGACTATGCTTGGTTAATGGGGATGATGACTATGCTTGTTTAATGGGGATGAGGACTATGCTTGGTTAATGGGGATGAGGACTATGCTTGGTTAATGGGGATGAGGACTATCCTTGGTTATTGAGGATGAGGACTATGCTTGGTTAATGGGGATGAGGACTATGCTTGTTTAATGAGGATGAGGACTATGCTTGGTTAATGGCGATGAGGACTATGCTTGGTTAATGGGGATGAGGACTATGCTTGGTTAATGGGGATGAGGACTATGCTTGTTTAATGGGGATGAGGACTATGCTTGGTTAATGGGGATGAGGACTATGCTTGGTTAATGGGGATGAGGACTATGCTTGGTTAATGGGGATGAGGACTATGCTTGGTTAATGGGGATGAGGACTATGCTTGGTTAATGGGGATGAGGACCATGCTTGGTTAATGGGGATGATGAATTCCTGGACGTGACGGTGACCTGATTCAACCCACCACAGTAGTGACAGTAGAAGGACACCTGACTGTGTGTCTGTGCGTGTGTTGGTGCGTGTGTGGGTGCGTGTGTGTGTGTGTGTGTGCACACTTTCTGGCGGCCCTAAGCGAGATTTGGTTGGGGTGCCCCCCACCTCATTGATGGCAAAACATTTTAGTGGTCCTTCTCTTGACGGCAGAGAGAAAAGTAAGTTGTACATTTTGTCATGGGGTGGAGAGAATTCTTTGCAGTTTTCAAAAGCAACGAGAGTGTAAATTATTTTTTTTCAGCTGAAAGACGATGCCCATAGCTTGCACATGATGTTGCGCAATAAGTCATTGTATGATATATTTGGGGTTGACGTGGGAAATCCAAAGTGATCATTTCAGATATTTTCCCCTAATTTTTTTACCAGGTAAATTCACTGAGAACACATTCACATCAACAACCTGGGGAATAGTGGGGTGAATGTGCCAATTGGAAGCTGGGGATGATTAGGTGGCCATGATAGTATTTGGGCCAGATTGGGAATTTAGCCAGGACACCGGGGTTAACACCCCTACTCTTACAATAAGTGCCATGGGATATTTAGTGACCACAGAGAGACACCCGTTTAACATCCCATCTGAAAGCCAGCACCCTACACAGGGCAATGTCCCCAATCACTGCCCTGGGGCATTGGGATATTATTATATTTTTACCAGAGGAAAGAGTGCCTCCTACTGGCCCTCCAACACCACTTTCAGCAGCATCTGGTCTCCCATCCAGGGACTGACCAGAACCAACCCTGCTTAGCTTCAGAGGTAAACCAGCAGTGGGATGCAGGGTGGTATGCTGCTGGCCTTATGATAGGACATGTTAATACCTTTCAGTCTACGTTTATTTTCAGGGCAGGATTTATTTGAATGTTACCACCCACCAGCATGGCATTGTTTATTAATCAGAAACACCTGCAAAGTTCTTCCTCTTTGTGAGTTGTGACTGAGCTGAGCAATATAATCGATCATCTTTAGCTGAGCCAAACAGCTTTTCGCCTGAGCCATGGAGCAAATTAAAATCGGGGGTGCAAACGTATTTTTTTGCACCTCCACTTTTTTTTTACCAGCAAATTATCATAATCCATTAGATAATTTGTTAAGTTTCACTTATTTTTTAGGCAGTCTGTCAAAAAATAAATATATATGACCATTTTATAAATGGTAAAATTGATTGCATTTTGGAACCCCGCTTCCCCCGTCGCCCCGAGATGAATGACCATGCTCCACTGCTTTGATAGCCTCGAATGAACCATCCTGATCTCGCCAGCTCACATTCTCGAACCATCCTGATCTCGCCAGGTCACATTCTGTTTATTTCTATAGCGGATCCGCAATTTATGGAAGATGCCAAAACTTTGGAGATAACAATAGATGGCAAAGTCAAAGATACTTCCTGTCCATCTGTGGCAAAGTTTTCCCTAAAAGCTTATGACAAATCCAGCCCCAGAACCAGCCATAGCCTAGCAACAACAGATAACATTAGCTAGCTAGATAAAGTTAGCATGCTATCTAGCTACACTGACAGCTACTTGTTGTTATTTCTCCACTCCATGTGGAAATCACCACAACGTTCCCACCCCCAATTCGTGAATACGTATTAGCAACCTGTGTTATTCTTCGGAGGTGGAACCTAAATGAGAATTTCTGCTATAGGACAGGAATTATGTTGAAATAGGGGCGGCATTGCCCTCTGGTGGGGGCCTTTAATGCAAAATTCCTACAATTCTACACATTTTGCCATGACTTATGCCATGTTAATA